TGATTTTAATTTTGATGTAAACATAAATGTGAAAATATCGCTATTTTCACATCATCTTAAATTTTATAATTGCTGAAATTAAGATTCTTTGGATGCACTATTTGTTCTCATTCCTATAGCCATTCTTACCCAGCAATAAGCTGACACAGGAATGTACTGACAGATAGGATAAAAATTAGTAGAAAGCCTACTCATTCCCAACACCCCCTCCTCACTCCGCCTATTTCGCCTTCTCTAGTCCGCACAAACTATCCTTTCTTACTTTGAAGAAACACATTCAAGAACGAAGTCGAAAACATCAACAACAGAAAAATAGAGAGAGAAAGAAAATGCATCGTATTGCAAAGAAAACTAAAAGATGTCATTAAGAAAAAATAAGATGACAAGAGAGAAAGGGAACAGGTTGTTGTTGCTGGTGTAAGCGTCCAGTGAGAGGAATATTTCCAAGGGTGAGGAATAGTTGAATTAGATGTATAGATATACATATATAAGTATATGATGAAATAAGCAGAAGGCGATTGACGATTAATATCTCATTTATATGCAAATTTCTTTTCAACTAGATCAAGCTTTTATCTTTTATATCATGACTTTAAGTCATAAATACACATAATTTTTTTCTGTACACTATCACATTTTTCGATCAAACACATGATATAATCAGATAGAAAAACAGATTGTGGTTATTGCTGATGTTTTATAACTGTTAAATTACAGCAGATTGAAGTAAGCTGAGTCCAACAGAATACAAGGAGAGGAAATATTTTGACCATAAAATTATACGAATTTGTTTCTTTTTTCTTTTAAAACTAAGTTGACAGTGTTGATAATTTATCAGAAAACAAAAAACACTTTTTCAGTTTTTTCCTTCTAGATTTTTAATTTTTTAAACTAGCAACACGTATTATGTGTGGTGAAAAAAAATCAGATATCAGCAGACTTTGTTGGGTACTCAGTTAGACGAAGATGCGTAAATAAGGCAAATGGTCCTTGTATGCGAAGCATATTGTGTACTTCCATGACCACCCGTCTTTCTTAACATCATCAAATGGGATGGAGGGAAAGATTGAATACTTTTAGTGGAATAATCTAGATGACCCTCTGTAACCCTTATTTGTGATCCACTTCTGTTGAAGTGTTCCCTAATAAGTGACATTTAGTTGTGATTCTTTGTCAGGCAGGAAGATGAAAACCAACAAGCACATGAAATCTGGTATGCCCCAATTTGGGATTCTCCCCTAACTATGCAAATAAAAATTGGGCGTAAGTTGGTTTATCTTAGGAATTGGTATGTTACAACTCAGACACCCGATGAGAAATCCGCCCGATGCCATGGCATAGCCTAAATAACCCTTGTTTGAGTGAGCGGTATCCTTAAGAGGAGAATTTCGGAATCTTTGAGAAGATTAGCCTTCACACCAACGCTCATAGTAGCGTTCTCCAGTAGTCCCTTGGTCTGCAGAAGCTTTATGGACAATATTTCATATCTGATCATTTCTTTTATGTGTATATTAGCTCACCTGTTTCTGTGGAGTTAAGTACATTGGTCGTCTGACGCGTATCCTGTGTAAAAGGGTCGGAGAACACCATCACTCATGGCTGCAGAAAGGCAGTAGTGGCTCTATAAGGAGTGCGATAATCAAACACCTTGTCAGTATTGGTCACTCCATTTTGTTTTCGTTTCCTTCGCACTGCTGAAGCCTTAGCTATTCAGATAGACAAACTGCAGCACTGCATACAAAAGAAAACTATTCAGCCATTTCTACTATCATTATTACAATCTTGATGATTTCTACTGACCTGATGTTCGTGTGCTTGCTTTCCTGACTCCCTGTAACTCTTGTATTTCTTGTCAACTCTTAAGTAATTCTATATCTTCCTTTCTTTTCTATGTGAATCTGAATGGCAACTCACTCATTGAATTACTCGTCTCAATACGTAATTCGAACACACTTACTCAACTCCTCTTACTTATTGACATGTTTTTTTGAAAACTCATCACCATTACTCTCTTATTAATCTTCTCTTCCTCTAGTTGCAATCTGGTCATTCATCGCATTTTTTGAAATATTCTGATGACGAAAACATTAATCCTAACTAATTTTTATTCTTGTCTGAAAAACCCTAATGTATACACACATACAAAAATAATTGTTATATATAATTGTGACTGTACATCTAAGTGAATGGATTCGCCAGAAATAGACTCTTCGCTGAACTACGTGAGTAAAAACAAAGAATGCTGATGCAATAGGTTGCATATGTAGCAGCATAAAATATTGAAAATGCAATTTGAAGTCTGAAGCCTAGATATGATGACTATGAGGCAACATTTACTGTCACAGACACTAGCAACAACTCTGAAGCCGTCCAAATAACCACCTCATAAAAATTTTGTACCATTTCTCAATTTAACAGTCAGATATCTAAACAGTGTACTGCTTATGTCATGAAGTGATCATAGCAACGCTGCAGTAAGCATTATTATTGGGGTGTGTGTGTGGTAAACTCATTCGAAAATCCCGCAAGTTTCATTTTGGACTCCAGCAAACTTTCCATGTGGCACGATGGTCTTCTGTAATTTTTCCATTTTTTAAATAGGAATCTAAAAAGCCTTTTTCTGGATCTTCCATGTTGATAGTGTTTTCTTTGAATATCTTGTGCACTGTAATTTTACTAGTTTGCATACTGATAGTTATGGAAAGGAAATCTTATTCATCAACTAAGGTTTCTTAAGAGAGGGAAAACGCTTTCTTACATTTACCATCAACTTTGAAGGAAGGAGATTCACATGGATCATTTAACGGCAGAGATGGTATTTTTTCACGGGGTTGGATTGCTACCCAATGCCCAGCCTTCCCTCTTTATTGGGGTCGAAAGTAGTTGCGCAATATGTGATCTAATTCTTAGCCAGGGTAGGTGCAAAGAGGGTGGGCATAGAAACAAACAGAAATAGATCCATAATAGATGTAGATGTTGGACTAGAAGTTGTATTGCATAAGCCTTCGCCACACTCATTGAGAAACCAGAGCTTTGTGTTCAAAAGAAACTGGTTCAACCTCTACATTTACCATGGATATAATTTGGTCTGACTCCTCAGTTTGTGTTTTTCATTCTCTTCGTCTTTTTGATTTTAGTTATAAAAGAACTATCATCTCAATTTGTTCCCACACTTATCCTGTTCACATCTGTATTCGTTAAAAACTGTTTTCTAATCCTGTGTAATTTTGTTTCTAAGCCCCTTGTAATCTATATTCACATCTTTCAACTTTCATATCAATTTGGAAATTATTATCACCATTAATTTCCTTCGCTTTTCTGTGAAACTGAATGAGAATAATTGTATCTGTTTAAACGTGTGTATATAAAAGCGACTCTACAGCTGCTTTTGAGCATGAAATCGCCGAAAATATAAGTTTGCTGAACTTCTTGTTCTTTTCTGTCCAATATTCTATTTCGGTTAAACTAATTTTTCTTACTAAGCAACTGACTATTTCACTTATTATCTAGATTACCAGCAATCAATTTAACATCTGTCGAGTCCTTATATAATCGTTTACTGGCATTATGAAGACAGTAACGTTTAGACGTAGTCAGCTATTGGTAGGCATTCATTATGAACACTTATTCATGTAACTGCATACGAACCTGGTATTTTTTTGTCTACATCAAGTATACGGTGTGCCCACAGGGAAAGCATATACAAAAGTAATGCTTTTTGGTTCTCAGTATTACGAGGTGCTGAAGATTTCATCAAAAGACTAGCTACATTCATCAACAGTCATTCCATGACAATGTGACTGGATAAAGAGAGTGGTGACGAAGACCTTCAAGATCAGGAACAAACATGAAATATCAGAAAACAAAATACTGAGAACATATTACCTCAGTATTAGTCTTTGTAGCGTTGTCTGAAATACTCACTTCTATGGACATTTGATAGTTTTAAACAGAACTGATTTTTCAATTGACCTTCATGAATTTCTAACTATATTTATGGAATAAGTTGGTCGGTTTGGTCCCCCAATGACCTGAAGATACTTGTCACGAAATGTCAGTGGGAAATCAGTTGTATAAAAGAATAGTGAGGGTGAGAGAGCATATCCCAAAATAGTTAGAAAAACAAATGAATTGTGAAAAACCAGTAGATGCAGGCATCAGTCAACCAACTTCATCTATAGCTAAACACCTAATCGAGATGAACCATAAGATTGATGTTAACTCAGCCTTTAAGGCCATCTATAAAAACGGTCAAGGGCGCTTATTGAAATACGCCAAGGCTATAGCTATTCATAAACTGAAGTCCCTCCTGTGTATTCAAAAACAGTTTATTATTACTTTTAACCCACCTTGGTAATCCTTATTTGACTGGATTACCAAACGTTGTGTTAATCATTCTTAAATCGTTTTTGTCCGCAAATACATCACATTATTTTTCAGATAATCTCCGTCTTTTTTAATAACGCTATCCAAATTTATAAAAGGGACTAATTGTTTTAAACGAATAGTATCAAATCATGCTCATTGTGCAAGACGAGACTTTTTGTAGAGGTAAGTGCTAGATTTGAATCTGGACAGGAATACAGTCACTCAGTGAGATGCAGGTACAGTCTCATGATAATTCCCAAGTAGAGCGAGACACTCATCCCAGAATCTATCAAACAAACATCTTCAAGAGTGTATTAGTATCCATGTCCAAATTACTGTGAAAACTTGAAAGTAGAATTTCACGTTATTTGTCATTTACTTGTTGACTGATGTAAATCATCACTCTTAATAAGGCAGAAAGATAAAAGACTTAGGAATTCTTCACTTATAAATTACTGGTGCTTTACACAATGTGGTGGCGAATAAAATGAACAGTCTTTCGTGTTTAATGGTGAAGAATCAATTGTTTACAAGAAAATTATGTAAAAACGATGTGCGTTTAAGATGAAAAAAATAAATGGAGTTGAGTAAAATAAGTTCCAATAATAGTTGCATTTTAATGATTTGCTTACCAGAAGAAATATTGGACTTATATAAGCCCAACAAATTCTCCAAAATATACCAGGCTTAAATCCCAGCATCATTTGCACATCTTGACAAAATCGTTTGGTACCTGTAGAAAAATGAGGATACATACACATATATATACATGAATTTGGACTTTAAAATTTTTGAAATAAATGAAAAATGAAGAAAGAGAGAGCCTGCTTATTGTCATCTGTCCCTTTACTACATATAATCTAAGGGGATATTTAATTTCAGGTTTGATCAGGGATAGATACTGGTTAGAAAACTATTGAAAATCAGGGAGTACTAGATAGATGTTTCGCTCGAAATTCAGACTCCTAGGAGGTGCACACGCGTAAGTTCATTGATAAGCAGATTCAGCGAAGAAACTTTTCTTTATCGACGAAATCATCTTCAGAGGCTGTACAATCGTATTTATACTTACAAAAATATATAGTGGTCTATTATTGAGTAATAGGGGGTGACACTGAACGTAATAGGGGGTCATACACTGAACGTAATCGACGAAAAAAATCTCGACTACCAGAGATAGCAAGAAATATTTCGCTAAGAACACATGCTCTATTTGAGCTGACAGAAGACGAACAGAGAAGTTTCATGGACTACATCGATTCAGTTTCAAGAAGACGCTGGGAAGATGTAAACCTGAAACTCGCGAATAGCCTCAAAGCCGCTGACACTTACTCACGTTTTCCTGCCAAACCAGAAAAATACGTTTTCAACTACTCTAGTATATCATTGACTCCTGTCCAATTGCAAGCCTTGTCGTTGGGTCCAAAATTCTGTGACATTTCAACAAATTCGAGTGACTTGGATGTTAAAGTCCAGTTTGAAGCACTGATCCAACAGACAAATGACCTTCCTGCAGCGTCCAATAAATCATATGAACAATTCAAGTCTACAGTATTAAACAGCTGCCATCAGTACATCAACACGAAACCAAATGTCAAAAGATTGATATCAGCCGAGCACAGAAAACAACTACGTGAGATTCTAAAGAACAAAAACTTGGTTCTGACACGCCCTGACAAAGGTGCTGGCATTGTCCTGATGGATCGCCAAGACTACATCGACAAAATGTTATCAGTCTTGTCAGATGAAAACAAATTTTCAAAAGAAAGTAGCCAGAAAGACCAAACGGAACAAATTGAAGACAAGCTGACACAAATGCTAAAGAAGATGAAGAACGAGTCGATTATCAGCTCTGAATTGTTCGAGCAAATACGACCCTCCGGTTCCGTGATTCCCCGTTTATATGGTCTGCCGAAAGTGCACAAAGAGAACGTGCCACTACGTCCAATCTTGGACATGATAAATTCTCCATATCATGCTACTACCAAATGGCTCGCAGATATCCTCCTACCTATCAGAAACAACCTTTGCAAGCATAGTGTTTCTGATTCGTTTGAATTCGTCGACTCAATAAAAGATGCTGATGTATCTGGGAAGAAAATGATATCCATGGATGTCACTTCGCTTTTCACCAACGTTCCCCTCACTGAAACTATCTGCTTTATTTGCAAATTCATTGAGGATAATAACAAAGACGTATGAGTTCCGATCCACTACTTAAAGGAACTACTATTGAGGTGCACTCTAAATGTTCAGTTCAAGTTCAACAATACGATTTATAGACAAAGAGATGGTGTGGCAATGGGGTCACCATTGGGTCCTTTACTTGCAGACTGCTTCTTGGCCAGTTTGGAGAATAATATTTTACGGCCTACTATCGACAGCTTCCATCTGTACCAAAGATACATTGATGATACTTTCATCATATGTGACGACAATACCGACATCGAATTGATAACCAAAGAGTTCAACAGCTGCCATCATGCCATCAAGTTCACGTCGGAATCAGAGAATAACTCGGAATTCCATTTTTTGGATGTTTTTCTAAAGAGGAGATCGGATGGCTCTCTTCAAAGATCGATCTACAGGAAACCAACATGGAATGGTCAATACACAAATTTCCATAGCTGGGTCCCTTTGAGAAGAAAGAGAAGTCTGACCCATTCCTTATCCTCAAGAATAAGGAGGATATGTTCAAGTGATACAATCGTTGGGGAACTGGAGAGACTCAGACAAGTCCTCATAGAGAATGGATATCCTCCAAGATTCATCGAGAAAAACATGAAGCCAAGGGAAAAACCCAAAAGAATACAGACGGTGCCGAAGAAACTACTGTTTATGAGTGTCGAATTTAAAGGTGATACCGCAGCTGAGATCCTGAAGAATCGCTTATGCAGATCCCTGAGGAAAGCCTTCTTTATGGCTGAGCTACGTATCAACTTCTACAGCCGACAAATGATCAACGGGTGTGTGAAGGATAAACTGCCGCTTTGGGCCACCTCAATGTGTGTTTATAAATTCACTTGCTCGTGTGGAGCTAGTTATATTGGCCGCACAAAGCGCACGCTTTCCAAACGCATGTCTGAGCATTATCCGGTATGGTTAGCAAAGGGACAATGTAAGACAATTACTAGCTCAATTCTCGAGCATTTGGTGAACTCAGGCCACGTAGCTCCACCAGAATCGTCTTTCAAGATCATCTAAAAAGTGAAGCCAAATGGTACAAAGGGCGTCAGGTTTCGGCTTTTGTGTATGGCGGAGGCTCTAGCAATTCAGCAATACAACCCTGAACTCTGTATACAGAAAAAGTTTGTCCAGTCTCTTATTCTACCTTGGTCTTAACCTCTTCACTAATCGTTCCTTGTAAATAAAACATTTTTTGATTTTTTCTTTTCATTCTAATTTCACTTTTAGTTAGCTTTTGCTTTAATAATTAATTCACTATTATCACTCTCATATGCTCCTTATGTATATTTTCACACCCTCTTCACACTTGTTAAATTGACACTCAAATACCTTTATTCTCACTTAATAGCAATTTTAACCTTGTCAAATTTCTATCTTTTTGCCGTTGAGTACCACGTAATTTTCAACTTTTAATTTTCACTTCTAAAGCCACTTGTGAGTAATTATATCAATTATGTCACCCCCTATTACTCAATAATAGACCACTATATATTTTTGTAAGTATAAATACGATTGTACAGCCTCTGAAGATGATTTCGTCGATAAAGAAAATTTTCTTCGCTGAATCTGTCTTTTATTTTCTTCATTGATAAGGTTCAAAATTCAGACCTTGAGGTTACGAGACGATCTTGTTGACCACTTATTCACGAGGATGAAACTTAGTGGTCGAACAATCTCAACTTCTATTGATTTGTGTCAAACAAACAACAGCGGAGTCCATCGAGTCAGACAAGAGGATAGTTACTCGCTCTTGATATTGACTAGTGTTTGTGCTAAATATATATCACTAAATGGCAGAAGTTTGAATTCATGGGACATTGCATTGGCTCCCATTGGCTTAATGGTCTACCAGCTCGCCTTGTAAGCGGGAGGTCCGAGGTCCGAACCCGGTGGATGCGTACTGTGAAAAGCAACAAACTGAGGCGAGACAGCTGTCCAATACTCCCTGATGGTTTTCCAGTGGTCCTCTACCGGTGTCAGCTCATCATCAGTTTTGTAACAAATCAAATCTCTGCAAAGCAACACTTGAAAATTTGTCTGATGCGTACTAGTGACCGGTTATACCATGAACTTCTGGTGGGAAGTCATGGCTAGTCGGGTTGCTTAGGATGGGTACGACGATAGATATTCTCTGATGACACTGATTGGCGGTAGTTCTGAAAACCGTGAAATAATGGAAGTCAGAAGTGACTGACTATTGGCCGGTCAAATAGCAAGCCTCGTAACCTGAATGTCCCAGGATCATGATTGTGTACTGCTGAAAGGTCCCAAAAGAGGAGGGAACTGCTGTTCAGTAACCCCTGCCTCTCAGTGGTTCTTTAACTAATAATAATCCGTGATTTAACTTGAAACCAATCAAATCCTTACAAACTAGCACTTGGGAAGCATATTTCATTACATATCCTTAGTTTATTATCTAATCTTGTTTAAAGTGTAGGCATAATGATGACATTAGAGATCATCGACTTTTACCTTACGGTGAGCACTTAAAGGATTCATTGAATGGTAGCATGCGGAAATAAATATCAGAATACATTATTGCATGGTTTTATTACTCACAAGATACTGTCTCATCAGAATGAGATGCTGTTATTGCTTATCTATGGAATTTCGAGTCACAGTAAAAGCTGAGACAAGCATCTATCATGCTGGTAGGTTTATCAACTTTGGCCCAGTATGAATAAATTTTTCATCTCTGGGGCACGATAGGTTTTCATAAGGGTTGTCGGCATGTGTTGCTTGTGACTGTCAGCAAGTATTAAGCTTAAGTCAAACAAGGGCTATTCGATTACAATTGTGAAACAGAATGTGTAACACAGATAAATTGGGCATATTGAAAACTTGGTTTGTAAAGGTTGCTTTTTGTTTTATGCTACTTGTCATCTTTTGAACCACTTGTGTTCAAATTAATTCATTCACAACTTTTTTTAATACAGCGAATGTAAACAGAGGAAAAACTGCCTACCTAGTTTTCACTAGTGTCAATCATGGTTTGAATGAATCTTACACTTCTTAAATTGTAACAACTGAAATCAAATCATTTCTACAGTAGCCTTTTAATTTACTGACAGAAATGAATCAGAAGAAACAAAGAAATTAAACCGCTGAGGTCTAATTATGTTAATTAACCTCGCCTATTAAACTAGCTCGCTAGTTTTCATCAAGCTAAAGCCAGTTTGGAAATCTTCTGCACTCAGCCAACAAAAGGAACAATATTTGGATTTTCAACACAAATGTGAAGTCAGTCAGTTCTTCTATACGTGCCAGAAACCTGGCGTGTGCATCACAAAAATGCTTTCCCACAAGCTACAGACTTTTGTCAACAGCTGTCCCTTTCTTCACTGGCCCCATACTGAAGACCAAATGGCCAGCTGACCAGAAGGAATTAGCAACAAGAAAATATCGCTGGCTGGCAACAAACCAACCAAGAGCCTATTACTCAACAAATATGTCGGAGAAAATGTAGATGGATTGGGTACACACTGAGGAGACTGTCGAATGACATCACGCTCCAGGCCATCGTTTGAGTGGAACCCAAAAAGGAAATGACGGGTTGGTCGTCACTCTAAGGTTGACATGGAGGCGATCGTTTGGGGAGGAGGAGATGTGAGATTATGGGCAATCGAGGAGCTAGCCAGATGAAGAGGACAGGACCGAATAGAGCAAAGTGGAGACCTGTTGTTGAAGCCCTATGTTCCACTCGGAACCCAAGGTAATAATAATAACCATTTTAACTACTCCCTGTAACTGAATACATGTTTTCATCCCTTGAGTTCTAGGTTAAGATTCCCGGACTTGAATATCTGAAGTGTCAGTGGGGGTGTACTTCCTATTATGGAGTAGGGCTGTTAGTACATCACTTGATCTCCCTTTTTTACGGGTTGACTATCCACTGGTAAACTAGGTGACGTTTAGGAATGTGACGCCCGTTAGTCGAACCTGGACTTCAATGCGTGATTGGCGAGTATTCTGTCACTGAACTACTGATTCACACGCTATATATTTGAGGATGATTCCTCAATAAAAAATCTCTCTCCTGTGAATCAACTCCTACTGAGCACACACCAATGAGATACTAGGCAAGCTTTCTATTAGGAAATATTTTGCATAATGAGCAAAATATGTCTTTGCTCATATTTAATTGTTGGTCCATGTATGCTTATATCTGAGCTATATTGTATTTGTCAAGTGGGAAGACAGTCGGAAAGCTTGTTCTGATGTCAGTATTTCTTGAAGCCCACAGGTCTCAATCGGCCTAAACCATTTCAGTAGCAAGCTGATGCAAAAACCATAGGTTTCCTAAGACATGTTGTAGTATATGACATAATTTCTTTAATGATAGTAAAAAGAAACAAATATGATGTATTATTCGCAATGTAATCATGTATAGTTTAGTATTGTCGATTCTGAAACTTTAAAGCTGAAAGTTTAAGGCCTGCGTTACACTCGGGATACAAGGTGTTAAACTGAATGCTTACCGTAAAACCAGCATAACGCCACGCATTCACAGAACACAATGAATAGAATTGAAATCGGGGCTCCATGACGATCAAGCATAGTGAGAACAAGATATCCACCCTATAAAATTGAAAATGACAACACTCTGTATTTAAAAACCAAGAAAGTCAGCTGAATATGACATTGATTCAATCGAAAAGATAAATTCCGTATAATGCATGAAATAAGTGAAAGACTGGAATAAATACATTTCAGAGAGGTTAACATTTTATTTATGCACTTAATATGAAATATGATGAGTACTGGATCCAAGTACCAGTAGAAAGATGAGAACTTAGTGCACCTGAAACACACTCACCAGGCAAGTCAGGAACTCAAAGAAATGCTCACCATGAACACCAATCTTGGCTACTATCAGACGCCTCAACAAGAACTCAATTTGTAACGGTAAAAGACGAAACATTTGATAGAAAATGTGTATTAGCAATTAGATACCTCTAAATAGCCGAATTCTATACACCTTATCTTCAGTGCACCATTTGCACAGATCTTCCGCGTGTGTTTCTTTGTGTTCCTTTCATATCTCTCTTGTATCTCCATAACGCTGTATTATTCGCTTTCTCTGACACGAAATGTATCTCCTTGATATTTGATGTTTCTTTGCTGATTAACATCTCTTTATATATATACTACTGATAAATCTTATCAGTAGCACACGTCACACACATCCCCTTATCAATTAATTTCGAAAGGAGCCGTTCCGATCTTCTTGGTTCTGCCGCTTCTTGTTGTAACTTGGTACTGGCTCTCATATCCCACTGAATCCATTTCTGCAGTCGACTTACTTCAGCTTATTTCCTCTTTTGACGGTATAGAGGGGAACACATCACTCAGTGACAGTGTATCACCCTTCCCATTTCGTGAGGAGTTTCCATGATCCTGGTCCACATTTACCCGCGTCCTTTCTTTCTGTACACTTAACTTGATCACCGACCTCAAACGTTCTGCATCCAATCTTTTCTCCCTGTTCTGATTTCATGGCGTCTTCCTACTCTTTATGACTTGCATTCCTACGGCTTCTTTCCATTCCGTTTGCGATCTCGTCGTATTCCACTACTGGTGGAGGGGCAAGGTTGTGCTGTGTATTGGTAGTTGTGGTTTCTATTAGTTCTTTTGTTATAAATATTTTGATGAAATCATTGTCATCACGAGATGTCTCTTCAAGTACTATGCATTAGGATAAAGACTGGTAGTTTCAATTTAAACTAGTCAGCAACAGTAACAGTCACCTATGAAAGTAATTCTAATTATTCATCCATTCATCATGACCATTGTACATTCAAGGGCGAACTGATCTTAGATGAAGCTGTAAGTTATAAAGTGCCTGGCAGTCATGTCAGGGTTAAATTCCCGACTGACGCATTCCTAAACCTCGCCAAATTTTCTAGCTATTAATAAGGCTGGGAGAGAAAGAAGTTTGAGAGTCATAATAGTTCCCGCACCCCATAGAAAGATAAAATGGCATCACAACTACTGAGATTTCAAAGCAAGATAACGAAGAAACAAGACTTCTGAAATTAAATAAATAAAACGAAACGCTTACAGCTCAGTGGAGTCCAGACACTTGCATATAATATTAATGATTCAACAAAACCACTTTTCCACTCGACGATAAAGACAAGTGGACTTAATTTCTACTACAAAATTTGCATAATTTTTTATTCTTTTACTTGTATTTGTCAAAATAATTTTGCGTCCATTTATTAAAATGCCACTGTAGTGGTTCAAATTCAAAAGGAGGCGCCAGTTCAAAACCCAGCGGTTAGTGAACAGATATATCATAGCTCTTTTGTTGTATATATCTTCGACTTCTTCTGACACTGATTCGAGTGGTAATTATATAGTGTTTCGACCTGAGTCTGTGTTCTGCTTTTCACGTCTTATCCCAGCGTGCTTGATATATTTATTGTTGTCTGTGTTGTTCTATTACAGAACATGGCGAGCCTAAGAAACTCGTTTAAATCGAAGCGAGAGATGAAGAACTTGAAATCTGCTGATAATGCTTGTACCCGTGATCAGGAAGACAATACCAGAGCGCCACCGGAGATGTCATGAACCCCAACGACAACGTCAACCTCCACGCCTGCTTCAGACATGATTCAAGCAATGGTCGCAGCCTTCCGAATAGCGCTGATGACTACTGACACACTAGCACAGTCCTCCAGTACCAAACCAAAAGTTAAATTCCCCGCACCGGAAAAGTTTGTTCCGGGGAATCGTTCACCTTGTGGGAGGAACAATGTTGCCGCTATATTCAGCAGTTTGACGAAGACCAAAGAGCTAGCGCTATTATCTGCTTGTTGTCGATACCTGCACTGAAACGCCTCAAGTTAGCTGGGGTTGACACCGAGCAGACGATGCGAGTTGAGGAGGTGTTCACAGCCATGCGTCGAGCATTTGCGCCGCATACCCATTTTCTCGGGCAGCGGGCTGGCTTTCACGCATGTGTCCAACGAAGAGGCGAAAGTACAGAGGAATTCCTCTGGCGCCTACAAGAGCTGGCTCCTGTGGCTTTTGAAGGAGATCCAGCAGCACAGATTAGCTCCCGTATTCTTCATCAATTCGAAGAGGGCTTACTGCACGATGAAGTGAGAGAACGGGTCATCGAAAGTAATCCTACATCGCCTGTAGAGGCTCTGCAGGTAGCCAAACAGAAGGAGGCCCTAATTAAGCTTTGTAAGGACCAACAAACAGCAGAAGGGTCATCATCGTAATAGTATTCAGGAAAATTAGCTAAATTTAATTGCCTTTTACCGAAAATATCGTAGTGATTCTCAGACAATAACGCAAATTAAGCATTTCAGTATCTTTGTCTGCTTAGGTCATATTTTATTTTCATTCCTTTGCGTACCAAGTTGACCATATATGGTTTCATACACTGAGCTTAGAAATTTCAGTAGCATTAGTGATATCCTCTTACAGAGTGGATTTTTTAGCCGCATTCTCAGTCTCCTGTCTTTTCCGGTTCAACCACCTGACTTTAGCAGTATGTCGGCTGCAGATTGAAGCCAGACCACATATATGGCTGACAAGCATGCAACCACTGAACCAAGAATGCATTTATGTCGCACTAGCACTTTGTGAAATGACAACATACACACACTGCACTTTCAAGCAGTGTTTTTGTAATCCTTCTGAGTTTTGCAGCTGTCTGTAAACAAGAGGCCAAAATAGAAGCACAGTGTTGAAAAACTGAAATAATACATAGAACGCATAATGTGAATGGTGTATGATTGAGTAATATGTCTATATACTCATGGTGAAAGATAAAATATCTTACACATGTAGTTGATGCTAACGCGCCAATTAAACAATATATAATTACTCCAAGGACAAAAATTTCTCGTCTGCCAGCTAACGCAGGAACACTATCCATGATTGCGGTGATAATAGCTTCAAGTCCACCAAACTAAAACAAGAAAACAAAAATAAATTCAAAAAAAATTCAACTTTGTTCTAATCATTCAGATTATTGTCAGGTGTCTTTCATCATAGGAAAAGATTTATAAGATATAGGATTGCTGTCTTGTTCACAATAGCAGTATTGATTCGTTAAGTCAGAGTTTGAATTGATATAAGAAAAGAACTTGAGCAATGTGGCATAGTGTAATCCCATCATACAGTAAAGTGATTTGTAAATCTATTTATTATCATTCCCTTGGGTTCTGAGTGGAACATAGGGCTTCAACAACACATATCCACTTTGTTCTACTTGGTGCTGTCCACTTCAGCTGGGGCCACGATTGCCCATAATCTCCAATCTCCTCCAACTCGCATGATCCACTCGATGTCACTCTCGTAGTGAAGACTCACTTGTCGTTTCCCACTCGGATTCTACTAGAGTGATAGCCTGCATTGCGCAAGATGCCATATATATATATATATGCATATAAACTTTAATTCATCTCATCCGTCATTTTTAAAGACAGGATTAGTTAAATACCCAACAAACCGAACAGTAACTCTAAGTAGTACATGAGGAAACTTAAATAATGAAATGAAACAGATAAAATGGTCACTAATGCTAAATAACTATCCCGTAAAATTCAATGAAAAGTTCAAAAAAGCTCACAAGTAAATAAGAAACAGTAGTGAATCTATTAACTACAACTTGAATAAGATAGAATTTAAGACATTCACAGTGTTTCCATATGTGAGCGGGACGTTCAAAACCCCAAGTAGGATTCTTAACAAAGCACTAATCAAGGTGGAGTTTAAACCTACCAACTTACTCAGGGAAAATCTCTGTAGGTTAAGGGAGCCTAGGGATCGAATTAGACAAAGAAATGTAACCTGCGAGACACCTTGTAATGACGCTGAAGTCAACTACATTAGGCCAGACCAGTGTATTGGGATAGTTCGATGAATTTAGCTAAGCGTAGAATAATGGACCTCACAAAGATGAATAATTTAAAGAAAAACTCAACAATAACAATGCATGTGTTGATACACAATAAAATGAGGCAGAGGTGTAGTTCTGAAAAGTAACATAAGTGGATTGTAGAACACGTTGGTTACTGAATCTCTGTTCATCAAACCTACACCTAACAAGTGCAAAAGGGGTGACCAGAGATATTCAAAATATTACTGACAATAAGTTATCTGAGTGCTTCGATATGATCATTAGCAGTAAATTGTATTCGCAAAGTTATCAGTAAATAATACCGTATCACTGTGTGCAATTTTTTTTAATCTATTACGTTCCTAGTAGAACATATAGCTTCAAGCTAGAGTTTTGAAGTTTCTGCAATAGTGGTGTTTTTTACAGGGTGGGATTGCCCAACTTTCAGGTTTACAACCGCCTAGGGGAGGTAAGGGCATGCGCCGGCTGCGGGATGAACCCCGGACCACGTGCATGGTCGGCCAGCATCCTACCGTTGAGCCAGCGACTCATTAATTGTTTTTAATTCAATTTCCCCGTTGATTCCTTGGACCAAGAAGTTCACCCTCTGTTGACATGTAGGCAGAAAAATCAAAAGTGAACTGAAAACAAATAATAACTGATGTCCGTTGTACAAGAGGTGGTTCTCATGGCTCAAGTAGTCTACTGAATAACGCTTTGACGTTTGAAGCGATGTGTACTGGGTTCGAGTCCCCGTTAGAACAGCACCACTCACTGCGGAATTCAGGAACATATGGGTGACGAGTCTTGAACAGGACGAAATGTGCATTCCGCTCTACTGCTTTGCTATTCACCATTCACCAAACTAATTCACTGTATGCATAAATCATATCAATTTGCCCTGAGATGCAATCAGAGGTACAGTATGCGAGTAATTGTGAAGCATTTAAATATCTTTGAAATAAGCTGGTATATAGTAGAATGCGACTATCTATTCTTAGCAACTGTATTGGAGCGTTCTGTGAATCTCTGACACTCATTGTGAAAGCTCAAAATCTCTGACAGATATTCCGTTTGAATTCTGAAATGTTTATTCGAAAGGAGCCAACTTACTTCGATTCATGGTGTTTAATTGCCTTTTTATCAGGATATATTTGGTTCTGTGTTAACCAAATATTCAATTAATGCGCTTCGTATGGCTGGTCAACACTAGTCATCTTATTCTTCAGAACCTCTTCCTTTAATCTTATCCATAAGGAGAAACATAACCTGACAAAATTATTGCGTATCCGGCATATCTGTATTGCTGAAGTTTTAGCTGTCAAAGTAAAAAGGCGACATTCCTGCGTACAGAAAAGATGTTGGTGCAAGTAGAGTGTCTTCTGTGGTCGCAGGTGGTCGATGTTAAATTATTACACTCCCCATTTCTACCTTAGCCTTGTGTATTTTTCGTTATACTTATTGAAAATCTATGTAACTATCCCTTACCATTTTCACTTTGAACGACATCTGATTAAATTTCACTTGTCATTATTTTTTTATTCCTTCACATTCCCAGTGCAACATAGGGCTTCAAGCTAGAGGCTTAAAGTTTCTGTAGCAGTGTTTATTTTTACAGGATGGGGTTGCTAGCCTCATGCCCAACCTTTCCTCCTTACCAGCTTTTCTTACTGACTTAGTGAGGTAAAGGAGTGCGTCGGCCGGGTACCGAACTCCGGACCAGATGCACGGTTGGCGAGCGTCCTAACCGCTGTGCCACCCACTCACATTGTCATTATGTGTCTATTTAATTCAATATATGTTTTATTTTGAATTGTTTTCAGAACTCTTTTCATACCAGGAGATGTTTTAAACGCCTAAATATTAATTTTACATGAGATATTTTTTGAATTACAGAATCTATTTAGTATATTCTTGTTTATCCGTTATCATTACACATGTTTTATTGTGATTCACATTACTGTTTCAAGAAGATCATATATAATTGCACAACTTATTCAATTTTCATTATTATTTTACTGATGTCATTGTTCTCTTGGGTTCCTAGTGGAACATACCGTTTCAGTAGCATATTTCCACTTCGTCTTATTTTCTCTAGTCCTCTTTGGCTAACCCAACGACTGCCTACAGTCTCTTATTTCCTCCTCACACAATCTCCTCCATATTATCCTCGAACGACCCACTAGAAGTTTTCATTTAACTTCCACTCAAGCAAGAGCCTGGCTTACTATGTCACCCAACGGTCTCCTCAGCGTGTGCCCAATCCATCTCCATTTTCTCTGACATATTTGTTGAGCAAAAGGCTCTTGGTTGGTTTGTTGCCAGCCAGCGATATTTTCTTGTTGCTAATTTTTTCTGGCTGGCTGGCTGTCATTGATCTTCAGTATGAAACTTACGAAGGCAATTGTTGATAAAAGTCCAATACCTCTTTCAAAATGCGCTGGCCAAGTTTCTGATCCATATAGGAGGAGTGACTGACGTAACACTGGTGTTGAAAATCCAAATTTTGTTCCTATTGTTGAGTGCTGCAGATTTCCAAACTGAATTCAGATTGATGCAGTTCTGCCTTGCATTTCCGATTTTGTTTTTCACATCCTCATCCGTGCCGATTACCTTTAGTTGAAACTATATTTTTGAAATTTCTTCTGTTGATAATGATAGGTACATGTTGCTGTTGTTGCTGGTATGTGGGTTCCTTCATCATATCCATTTTCTCTATGTTCACTTGAAGTCCTGCCTTTGCTGATGTTTCTGTGAACTTGTTGGATTCCACTTGTAAGTCTTTTACTTTATTCGAAATTATACATAAACCATCCAACTAAAGTAAAATTGAGTTAGTAAGTTATATGACTTAATATAATTGACTAAAATGTTTCAACTTAGGTCAGGAAAGCAACCGAGGTAATTACAGGTGGAGATTAAGTAGAGGTGGGGTAGAGAATAATGTCATTTAAATTAGGACTGAAGTTGAACAAACAAATTGGATGACGTAACATAAATGACTAGAAATTGAGCGTTGGTCAAGACAGTAACAGTGGTAATGAAGTGTAGAAATTAAATCGGGTGGAGGTAGATAACAGGAAAGTTGAAAATGTAAAATATTACAGTTGTAATAATTTGCAATATTTTGTCTTTACAACTGTAATATTTTACATTTTCAACTTTCCTGTTATCTATACCTGTATCATATTTTACTAATCCTTATATAATTTGATTTGTCGAAATGACTAATTTATTGAAGAGATGTTTCTTCAAAACTTCTCACTTCTCTATTCCAGAGGTAAATTTTAAAAGTAATGTGCAATGTCTACACCTTCACTTAATAACAATCTATTACTCATTTTGAAGTATTACTCAACCTCTTCTCTTACAATTTATTGATCCTTGTATTTTACCAATTCTTCTTTCCTTCCCCCCTTTCATTCTTTCCTAGGCTTCTCAGAAAGAATAACGCTATATTGCACAGAACTTTGATGATTGTACGCAGGGTTGGTAGTGTGTCTTTGACCCAACTGACTGAGATTGTTGTTGATAGGTGGTATGACTATTTCAGGCAGCTTGCTAAAGTCACTGAACTTCTTCTTTATTTGCAATTTTCTCCTTTCTATTCGAGTAAAATTTCGTAAGAATTTATGCTGGTATGGCTAGATATAAAAATTCAACCTTGCTATATTTAGCACAAGTGGTATGTGAAGACAAATATGTCAGTAAAGAGCTTTATAAACGCTTTTCATAATCTGTAAACAAATAGTAACTAATTACCAGAATTATTAATACGTATATTATTTTTTTGCTAACTTCAATTGCTGCACTTTTATTATTTATGTGGAAGCTGTTTATGGAAATCATCGGGACGGGATGGGTAAGCAAATAATCAATGATCCTTCTTCGGTTGATGCTGTTACTCTTAATAAGTCTTTCATATGTCGTCCTGCTGATGTCATGATCTCAAATGCTACAAATGCAAGTAGTGACTGCTTCTTTAGTTTTAACACAAACAATGTCCTCAAGTGTCTCAAATGTCTGAAACCTACCCAGTCCCTTTTCGCTAATGGTGTATCATCCTCAATAAATGTGCAGACTTTTTATGCCATCCTCTCGCTGTTACTTTGGGTTAACCGTTTTCCGCTAACATAGTGCCTGCTTCGTACCTATGTCTAAATCATGAAGTGGACTAAATGTTAAGTTTAGACCTATTGTCATTACTTCACCTTTTCTAAAAAATTATGGAAAAAACTGCTTTTACTTAACCTTGAACCTTCATTGAAGGCTTTTAACGACCCTGATCAATTCGCCCATAAACGTAGTAGGTGTATTTTAGATGCCATTGTTGTCCCATATCATAAGACTGTCTCCAGTTTAGACAGAGGTGCCAAATATGTTCAGTGTGCCTTCTCAGACTACATATCTGCCTTTGACTCTGTACCTAGGCCTCTCCTGTTAAACGAGCTTGCTGCAACACAAGCATAGTGCTGGATTACCAAGTGGTTGCATTCCTATTTTTCCGAATGGAGGCAGTACACTATTTAAAATGGGAAGTCCTCCACTGCTTCCTTCATTTACTCTAGCTGGTTATCCTGAGAGAGCTGTTCTTTCTTCTTACATGACTCGCACCATTCTGACAAAGCCATTTTTGTCAAGTATGTCTATTATCTGACTGTTTCTTTGCCAGCAGTTACTTCTCAGTCAAACTGTTCCAAAATGAATAACTTTTTATTAGAAATTCATCAGTTGTCCTTGTCAAGTGGTATTAAGCTTAATCCCATCAGATGTCAGGTGGTTAATTTCACTTTAAGACTCAGGTGCTACTTACGTGAACTGGTTAGTTCACACGGTTCCACTATCATAGATGGCACTGAAGCTGAAACTAATTCCAATGTTAAATACCTTGGACTGCGTATTTCCTCTGATCAACTTTCCTGGTCTTCCCGTATCATGTCAGTTTGTATAAAGAGATTTCGTTTGACATCCTACATAAGGAAGTTAAGACAATCTGGTATCACTCAGTCTCTACTGCTACACTTTGTTAGTTCTCGTATTCCGCTTATCTTTCCTTACTGCTCCCCGCCGCTTAATCTTTCCCAGGCTATTTAAGAAAGACTTTGTTACACTACGAAGGGCACTAAAAGCTGTCAGTACGGTAAGTGGGTTGTCGCTAAACCAACTCGTTAACATTATTGTAGTTAGACAATTGGACTCCCGCAAAATATCAGCAAATATTATCTTGTCAGACCCTGAGCATCCTCTCTGTACACACCTCTCTCCTTGCATCTCATCAAGTAGAAGAAGAGGTGACTATAGAAGACTACATGCTAGGACGACTAGGTAAAAAACTCTACAATACCTTTTTTAGCCTACATTTTATGCTATGAGAAAAGTATAAGGCAGGAAATTACCAACTTACTGCGGAATTCTAAGCAAAAGGCCCCAACTTGTTTTCTTCATTGTTACATTGTTGTTAATATTTTTACTTAATTTAATATTCATTTTCTTATTTGAACAGTGTTATAGACCTAAATGTCCTATTTTAGTTATCATCTCTGTAAATGAGAAGTTTAGATGCAATATTGTAGTAATACATGCTGAAAATTGCATACTTGTCTCAAATGTACTGTTTGCAATAATGCTATTATTATTTTATATATTGTTGCAACATGCTCAGTGCTGAAAACTCCATCCTGTATGACTGTTATTGTTGTTTGGAATAAAGTGACTATTATTAATATTATTATTAGTTTTATACAGAAGAAAGTATATTTTCCAAGCGCTCGACAGCTAATAGGAATAGAGTAAATTGTTGAAGATGGATGAAATGTTTGACAGCTTAGGGAATAGTAATATTTTACGGCTTAGCAGAGAGGCAGAGATCCAAAATACGTCTATCACCTTAGGTAAAGCCCAGAAAGATGTACTCAAGCTGATGGTACAGTAGTATTTACATTTATGTGTATTGACGTTCTGTGTTATTTTAATGCACATTCTTTCTTGACTGTAAGTGTACTCAAAGTTGTACTGAGAAATTCGTTACATATCTAACTAACGGTACTTGAAATTTCAGACATGCTTAGTGAAATGGATTATACGAAGTCACCTAGAATCATTCTCACTCTTAGAATGTAATTGTAAACTTTGTTACTAATGTCATATATACATTAATTAATTAAATACAAACGAATTTTAATAATTTCATCATCAAATGGACGATTTATTGTACTATTAACAATTGGAGTTATAAAATGTTACGAAAAACGATACTTACTGTACTGTCAAGGCCTAGAGTGATGAGCATTAGCATGAATATAATGGCCCAGAATGTTGAACCGGCTAGTGTTGCAATAGCTTCAGGATAGGCAATGAATACTAAACCAGGTCCTGTAATGTAAAATCAATGATAGATTAGAATGTATTGTAAATTAGAGCGACATTTGTTGCAATTTACCAATTGCACACTGACAGAATATTTGAATATGAGGTGAAAATTTGTTACACACAGGAATTGGAATTTTTGCTTTCGTTCAAAAAATTACTAGTTTAAAATAAAGAATTTAGTGCAGAAAATTCTCTTTTCGAAAATTTTACTCTCATAGCTGTACAGTCGTATATATGGATATATATATATGTATATGAACTATAACAGACAATATGCGAGGAGGACTGAGATTTAGGTGAAATCCTCAAAGTATTCATTGACAGTCATCCTGCTATTCAGTTCACCTTAGAGAGAGAAACTAAAGGAGAATATCTTTCCTTGATGTGCTACTCACATGGAGAACTGACGGGTTTTTGAGAAGGTCTGTTTACAGAAAATCGACATGGAGAGGACCATTTTTACAGTTTCATCCTCAAATACAGGAAAAGGAATCTAATCAGTTCTTTGTCAACACGGGTACAGGGAATTTGTAGTGAAGACAGCGTTGGTGATGAACTCAAACATCTGAAAGACACTCTTCATGAGAAATGGACATGCACCATGAGAACAATAGCAAACTAAGAGGAAGAAATGCAGTAATTGACAAGGTAGCTAAACAATGTTGTAGATAGTCATAGAATTTAGGGGTTGATACTGACAGTAAGGTAGTTAAAAATCGTCTGACAAGATCACTGAAAGGAAGGTTCTTTGCTGCCACTTTATGAATAACCAACTCTAGCCGCCCACTGGTGCACCTTAATATCAAGGAAATCTTACTTCGATTGCCTGTTTATAGGTTCACCTGTTCTTGTGGAGCTAGGTACATAGGACGTTTGTCGAGAAATATATCCCACAGTGTGCGAAAGCACCTCCCAGTTTGGCTGAGCAAAAGAAACCGTAGAGGCATTAATTCATCGATATTTCAACATATTGTAGATACTAACCACGCAGCATCTGACACATCGTTTAATATAGTCTACAAAGTCCGACAAAGTTTTCCGAAAGGGACATAAGTGCATTTGCTTTGTATAGCAGAAGCTTTGGAAATACATAATATAAAGCTAGAACTTTGTGTACAAAAACAATTTGTACGATCTGTTCCGTTACCATGGGCTTGATTTTAACATGTAGTTCACATAACAGCATTGTTATCCTTCTTAATTCCAAGTTCCACTTTTGTTTATTTTATTTCACATTTTATCTAATCTACTATTTTGACAACATTTCACCCATCCTATGTCTGCATCATATTGTATTCACATATTCACATTTCCAAATGTACTTTATTTTTTGATCACTTATTTCACACATGTCAACTTAACTTTAGGTTGACCTCTATTTATTTATTTAATTGTTCATTCCTATATCTAATCAATTGTAACTCATAATCATATGCATCAGTATTGTCACACTTTAGTGTTTCCACTCACTGTCAAACTTAACACACACACACACACAAACACGGAATGTGATTTATATATATATATGATAGTACAGCTTTGAAAATGAAATCGTCGAAAAGAGAATTTTCTTCGCTTAATTCTTTGTTTTTAAATCTCAGTGAGGAATATTAAATTAATTTAAAGTAGATACCAAGTATTTGATTTCTTAAGGAGGTAAGGTACCATTTAATACCTCATCAGATATGATCACGCCACTATTGTAGGGTGTTTGGAAGAATGAAAAGGTGCGTACTGATCGGAAGAAAGGTTACTTTGTCAGCCTAGGAAAGAAACGTGAATTAAGACTCTACAAGATCTGACGTAAATTCATGCTCCCGCGTACTTTAAGCAGAGTGACATTGTAACGACAGAAGGCAAGAATCAGGCAACAGATCATTTATTAAGGAAATCAACGCATATTTATATATTTTCATGTACATTACTATGGATATGTAAACAAACAAACACAGTCTTCCGATTGGTTGTTTCTCACGTAAAGTTAATCTTTCATCTATTTGTGACTGTTTCTTGAATGTCAAATCCTCTATATGTTAACTGCATCCGCCAACGCAAAGTCTGCTGTGGTCGGTTTTGAATCAATCTTTGTTCACATTTTCTCACGACAAATCATGGGAACGTAAATATTGACGTAAATTACTGTCTATCAATTTGGCTAGTAGACAGCTCTCACCACAACATCACAAGCCAGACCATCGGTCGAGTGGAACCTGAACAGGAAGCGGAGAGTTGGTCGTCGGTGCGAGGATGAGGTGACATGGAGGAGGTCATGTGAAGAGGAGGTGAGAGCATAAGAGCAGACTTGGAGCCAGGTGAATGTGTTGGCGGAGAACCGAACGCAATGGAAACGTGCAGCTGAAGCTCTATGTTACTCTAGCAGCTAAAGGAGATAACAATATAATAATTTGCTAAATAGTCAGCAGCGGACCACACGCCATCAACTGTTGCGCGGTCAGAAGACATTTATTTTGGGTAAAGTCCTATGTTGAACTGCTTTAGTTGTGTTTGCCTGTCTAGTCTTTGGGGATATATATATATATGCTGCATAAACAACAATATTATTGTCTAGTGATGTTTTATGAAATTTTAAATTTTTTAAATTAAACATTCCGGAAGAATTGTAAATTTTCTCTCCTCATATTACTGTCGCCTTCTTAAAACTAAAGTACACATTCTATACTCCGACAAATTTTGGAAAATTTGTTACAAAAAAGCGTTGTTTTTTTCCGGTTTAAAAACTAGTACATATGTATAAATATATTTCTTAATTCTCAATCTTTTGTAAGCTGCATATGACTAAAATTAACCAATATTTTAATTCAGTGTTTTTAATGTTTCGAATTTAGTGTTGAATAAAAATGTTTAAAAGGCAGTGAGAAGAGCTATAGCTGGGCAGTGACTGAAATCGATTACGTCATCATCATCATCATTAGTGAGCGAGTGAATGAAATTTAATTCTGTCTACCGATATTTGTTTATATTTTTGTTCATTGGGTAATTTGACGCCTCATTATGCTATTGTCACGGATTTAGGTTTATATATGTGATAATATGCATGTTCTTTTCGTTACATTTTCTTATAGGACATTAAAAAAAGAAAGTTCTCTGACTTGTATTCAGAATAAAAATGTCGAATTCAAAAGTGACTATGGATCAATACAATATACATATATATTTGTTTGCTTTCAAGCAATAAGAGTTCACTAAGCGACTGACGTTTATGCTTAACCTGAATGCTACTCACGCAATACAATAAATAACGGTTAAAACTGCTAGTTTCTTATAGAATGACGGCCATACAGCAAAGTTGACTGATAGAATTCAGCCTGTATCAAACAAAGGGTTAGATGCATGACATTATTATTATTGTTTCCTGTAGCTACTACAGGAACATAGGGCTTCAGCCGCACGTTTCCATTGCGTTCGGTTCTCTGCCAACACATTCACCTGGCTCCAAGTCTGTTCTTATGCTCTCACCTCCTCTTCACATGACCTCCTCCATGTCACCTCATCCTCGCACCGACGACCAACTCGCCGCTTCCTGTTCAGGTTCCACTCGACCGATGGCCTGGCTTGTGATGTCACTTGATGGTTTGTTTTCTCAGAGTATGGCCAATCCACCTCCATTTCTTCCTGCATATTTGTTGCAAAATCGGTTCCTGCTGGGTTGATTCGCTCCCAGAGACAACTGTTGCCGATCTTTCCTGGCCATCTAATCTCGAGTATTGATTGAAAACAGCTGTTGATGAAGGTCTGTAGTTTGTTTGAAGTGCCTTTCACGACGCGCCAAGTCTCTGATCCGTATAGTAGCACTGACTTTGTATTGGAGTTGAAAATCCGGATGTTTTTATTCGTAATGAGTGCTGTTGATTTCCACACAGACTTGAGAGTAATGAAAGCTTGCCTTGGTTTCCCAAAGCTCGCTTTGATATCCTCTCCAGTCCGTCAAGTATTTGAAACGATGGTTCCTAGTTAGGTAAATGAGGTTGTTTCGTTCAGATTTCTCCCATTTATGCTGGCTGATTGTTGTCTGTTGTTGTTGCTGCTGGCCAGGAATCTTCATCGCCTCGGTTTTCTCTATGCTCACCTGAAGGAAGTCATATCTTTGACGCTTGACATGATGCTTTGATGTGTGACATTATTTATCACCTAATATCCAGTCGTACTACCTATTACTGCACCAAAGAATGTTAATTGGGAGTTCAAATAGTTGAGTGGTAACTTCTTTGTCTGCTCCACCGGTTGACACCGGTTCGAATCTCGGAATGGACATGAGTTCCTTCAAAGTTGACTGAATGGTGCCAACAAGAAAAAAGTGTAGTTGTAACCAAGACGTCTTATAACCAATCACCTCTAACCACCTAACGTCAGTAGATCAGTGTATCGTGAAGACGAGCCACCTAGAATAAAGGCCACTTTGCAAACTTGACTGGTAGAGTTCCATCAGCCCCACTTAAAAGATAAGACACATTTCGCTAGTTATTAACTAGTGTTCAATTGGCAAAGATGTTTTATTAATCAATGATATTGCACACTTGTGTAATATATAAACTTGTAAACGCCTAGGCAGATTTTCTGTAGTTAACGATTTTAATACGTTCAGAGCGTAGTAGTCTACAACAAGGAGAAACTGTACAGTTATAAACTAGTTGAAATCTCCCTACCAGTCAAGAATATTCATCGAAAATGAACTTAAGTAATTCACAATTTTATATACTTTGGTCTATTAGAAGCGGAGATAAATAAAACGAGTTCTATTGATCTCTGGATATTAATAATTTGTCTTTACCTAATCCTTTTGGTGAATATCATTTATACAAAATCATTTTACGACAAACGAGTAACCTTTAATTTTATTGGTAGAATAAGCCGCAAATGTGAATAAAGCAAGATTTAGTGAATTCATCAAACTCTTCAACTGAATATTACTCAAAGTACGGTTATATAACTACTATGAGTCATATATATATATATATGGAGGCGTATGACTATATATATGACTAATAAAAAGCTACAGTGATATAATCGAGAAGATGTGTGGATCAAGTGGATGGTTTCAGTGTAGTTGTGTTCTAAGAGCTGGATGGTTTAGTTGCGAAACTTTCATTGTCTTACTAGACAACGTTTTCAGCGCAAATTTCAATGCTACAGTGAATCAACTGAGTAAAACGAGTGCTGATATGCAGTGATTTGATTGGTTACAGGTTTCATCACTAGTTGACGTGAGTAACCCAGTGTTCTCTAACTGATATCAGCTGATGACCGGACCTGTGACCAGTTAAATCCTTGAGGACACGCACTTTATGATTAATCCAATGCTTACTAGTGACTGGCTCTACACAGGAAGTTATCTGGCGTTCTAGTTAGAAGTTGTAACCAGCCTGGCCATTCAGGTCACGTAAGGGAACCATTCCTCGTCCATGGCATTGTCTTGCGGTTGTGCTATGTATGTCGAGAGCCTGAAGAAGTTAGACTTCATGGTTATTTAATCAAATCTCAGTGGCTGAATGGTCAACCAACTTGTATTGTAACCAGAGGATCCTATATTCCAGCCAGGTTGAATAAGTACTTCTGAAGACGATACAGCTATCTGGTATTTTGCGGTCTTCCAGTGGTTGTCTAACTGAGGTGTCAACACCACGCCTGTAGTCGATAAGGCGCTTCAGCAAGACAAGATACGCCTCCTGCTGCCTTTGGTCTCAGTCTTTTGTACGGTGAAATAAAGAACAAAAGGCAAAGCAGAGGGGAGTTCGTTTGTTATCAAGTAATATTTGACCAAATTCCATCCCACCTGACTGTAATAGCTTTGGCTGGAGATTTCCGACAACTATCGTTAATAATTTCATCATATAATTTTATGTTCCAGTAATCTTACTATATCACATTCACAGTTTATAAATTTATTCTCGAATTGCAATTTTCAACACATTTCATTTTGGAAATCTCCACTATTCAGGTTACAATATACTGTCGAGCATTCAAGAATACAAGCATAAATGTATGTTGTGTGAAACGGGTGAAATGACCGTCTGGTGCTTAGACCACTTCCTTTTGCTCAGTAGCTGATATGGGTGGTATTCAACTACTTATACCAGGAAACCAGTAGTATGTAGCTTCAGTAATTTCAGTGTGACCGAAGAGGAGGGGATAATACTAGAAACTTATACACTAGTGATATTGGATTCCTTTTTCACACCTCAAGAAAAGAGACCATTGCGTTTCAACATGATTGGACGAAACATTATATTATACCACGATTCCAAAGATGTTAAAAAAATATTACAAAGACGGTGGATACATAGAATAACGAAAATTCTATAACACAGTAAAAGAATGGCTATCATTGCTTAATGTGAAAAATACACATTGTAATCAAATAATCAGGAATATACAAGGTTACCTTCATTAGCAACATCTTCCATTGTTTTCCCCATACGGAAACACATGTATCCAAGAACAGAGAATACAACGAAACCTGAGACAAAACTTGTTGCACAGTTTATGAAACTGGTAATCATTGCATCTCTATTTTATAACATTGAAAAAGATTAAAACAAGAAAGGTAGTTAAAGTAATACAGTGTTTTACCACGAAAATGTGTGCTAGAAAACATCTTCATCAAAATGTCATCACCAAAATAATTTATTTTATTTTTTTAATTTTCATTACAGCTTGATACCACACCGTATTTTCAGTACAAGTATGGAATTTTCAGCATGGATATCGGTAGCCCAAATTTTACAGGCTGACCATAGATATCGGGTGTGCGTTGGCAGGGGATCGAACCCCGGACCATGTGCATGGTCGGCGAGAGTCCTAACCACTGTGCCACCACAAGAAATTGGAGAAACCTGAGAATGCTGCTTTTTGTCACATTTAGATGTCTACAATAATTCACGTTTCCTCGTAATCTCAAAACTAGCGGATGTTTAGGTTTCTATAACTGTAGAAGGCTTATACAAACTATAATGGTGAAGGTTTAAAGCATTTTAGTAATTCATATCTACACGTTTTTGAGCAGACGAGTTGAGGACAGTCGGATTTTGAGGTTAAAACCATAACGGTGTACAGCTTTGAATTTTTGTCTTTTCGTCGCATGAGAACATGGTCATCCAATGCCATCAGACAGTGTATTTATTCTCACTGATGATTTAACATTTGATAGGGAAACTATCTTTCCAGCGCAGACCTTTATATTTTTTAGCTTTGACTCTTTATCATTATACTTCACTGGTTTGAAGACTTGATGAGTCACTGCATAGAAATACTGATCATGTTAGTTAATCATGAATGTCAGACTAATTTTGGCAATTCAGTTTTCATCTGAAGTACTTGTAGTACACTCATTTGCAACTGATTAGTTTATTGTCATACACAGACAGAGATGCCAATAAATGCCATGCTCTGAATAGTCTTAAATTAATGCGAGACAAACACCCTAGTAGGCGTCTACTTTTTGTTATTTAGTAACAAGTATTTCCCATCATTTCGTCGTATGAAGGTTTTTTTAAGTTTCTAATGAAATGTTTAGCTCAAACATTGTCTAAGCAATGAATGGCAGTGCAACACTGGTCACTTGTGGAAAGGTAGGCCATGTTTGGTAAAATAATTGGCCATCAGTTAATATTAATGGTTGCATGGAATACAGACTCTAGAGAACCTAGAACATGTCTATATTTTCATTGTAACCAGTAATTACAGTATGCATTTTAAAGAGAATTATGCACAACCAGGGTGACTAAATCGTCTGTGTGTCGGTAGCACAGAGGTAGAATACTCGCCTACCACGCAAATGATCTGAGGTCCGATCCTTGGCTGACGCACTACTTTACCTCGCTAAGACAATGATAAGACTGGCAAAGAGACGAGGTTGGACATGAGGCTAGCAACTCCATCCCGTAAAAAATGAAACACCACCGCTACCGAAACTTCAAGCCTCTAGTTTGAAGCCCTATGTTCCACTAGGAACGTAAAGGAATAAAAAAATCAGCACCATAGTGTCACGGGATTAAATCACTTTATAGTCTACTAGTTGTATGGAATAATAATAACAATTGTCAACCTCTGAAAAATAAGAACAGGTAGAAAATGAAGGAGGTCAGTAGTCCATTCACTATATCTGCGCTACACTTCTCCAAAAGAGTCAATGCTTATGACTAGTACTAACTATAATCTGTCAGCAAATGTCTTTAATATCTAATTTCTAATGCTTTCTTTAAAATCTGTATTCAGTGTAATGTTTTAGTTACATTTGCTTAACCAATAATGATGGGCAGCAGAAATCTGGCATTTTAAAGTCAGGTGATTGTAGTACATTGCACAGCATTTACCTGAATTTGTTTCACCTCAGCAGGATGAAGCTGTAATACACCTAATCAGTTTTGTCATCAATCAGTCAAATATCATAATTTAATTAGGTGTGAATTATCGTAAAATGAAAGCAGTGAAAGAAAGAAATAACTGTCATTACCTGTAACAGTTATTATGGAATTTATTATAACTGGATAAAGCAAGCAGAACACCGAATCCTGGACCAAGTGAAAAGAAGATTTGTGATGCAGCATCACTCCAGACCTAAGGGAATAAAATAAATAAGATTCATTTAGATTTCACAGGTTATCTGTGATAATACTACATCATTTTTGATAAAATTCAAAAGGTTATATCTAAGGTCATAATATTCAGAGAGAATAACCATTGAGCCATAAAGAAGATAATAGACAACTCAGTGAAGGAAATTTTCCTCATCAACCAAGCCTGTATGATCATATTTATATTTACCAAAAATGTATAGTGGTCTATTATTGAATAATAGGGGGTGACATAACTGATATGATGACTCATAAGTGGCTTTAGAAGTAAAAATAAAAGTTATAAATTACGTAGTACTCAACGGCACAAAGGAAGAAAGCGTTAGAAATTTGATAAGGTTAAAATTGTTATTGAGTGAGAAGAAGGTAGTTGAGTGTCAACTTAACAAGTGTGAAGAGAGTGAGAAAATGTACAAAAGGAACATATGAGAGTGATAATAGTCAATTATTTATTAAAGTAAAAGTAAACTAAAAGTAAAATTTAAAAAATTAAAAAATCTACAGGGAACGACTGGTGAAGAGGTTATGACCAATGTAGATTAAGAGACTGGACAGAATTTTTCTGTCTGTAGAGTTCTTAGTTGCATTGAGTAATTGCCAACGCCTCCGCCATACACAAATGACAAAACATGACGCCCTTTGTACCATTTGGTCTCACCTTATAGATAGTCTTGAAAGGCGACTCTAATGGAGCTGCGTGGCTTGAGTTCACCAAGTGCTCGAGAACTGATCTAGTAACTGTATTCTGCTGTCCTTTTGCTAATCATAGCGGATAACGTTCAGAGATGCGTTTGGAAAGTGTACGCTCTCTACGGCCAATCTGACTAGCTCTCTTATCAAATTTCTAATCCTTTCCTCCTTTGTACCGTTGAGAACTACGCAATTTGCAACTTTTATTTTTACTTCTAAAGCCACTTATGAGTAAATATGTCAATTATGTCACCCTCAATTACTCAATAATAGATCACTATACATTTTTGGTAGATATAAATGCGATTGTACTGCCTGTGAAGATGATAACTTCGGCAAAGAATGTCTTCTTCGTTGAACTGTGTATCACTTTATCCATGATTCAGAGAAGAGAATGTTTTCAACGAATTGCTTATCGAGCTGTACGATAGTTTTGAAGAAACTATATCCTGTGAGAAAATTTAAATAAAGGTGTGGGTATATAAAATAATAAAACCACGAAAGACAATTAAAATTTTTGTCTGTTATCATAGTTAAATATCAATTGATAAAACCAATAATTTCATGCATAGAATAGTTCAATGAATCTATAAATGTTGGAAAGGGATGTAAAATTATGGGATTAGCAGGCAGTTAAAAATATTACCTAACATGATATGAAGTTTAGTAGGATAGAATTTAATGATATAAAGTAACAAATGGCACAAAAGAAATAATACTGGAAACAGTTAAAAGTGAGAATAACAATACCATTAATAATGATAATCGTAGTAATAAGGAAAAGTTATATGAAATAAAGTATAATTATATTTTAATAGTTTACACACAATGATAAGTTTTGTTATTGGTAATATTTCGAGCAAAATTACTGCCCGTGTTCACACCAGTGTTGGAATTGTTTGATTATATGGGTTAACTAAATAAACAAAATGGGAAATGCATGTTTATCCCTATACTGTCATAGTAGGAGAAATAGTAACTGTACATACTGCTTTTGTAAACAAAGGTCCGGCTTAAACTCATGAATGATCAAGGCCTTCACTATCTCTAGAGGTTTGGAACGAAGAGAAGGCAGCGAGTTAGCATGAATTCGATGAATAATCTCAACGTCATAGTCGATCGAGTGTTCTAGAATATAGCTTCTCACACAATTCCTCTTTCCCTTATAAAACCATGCTGGGATATGTTTTCGTATCTGTGTGGAAAGCGTTCTCTAGCTACGGCCAATTTAACTTGCTCCACAGGAGCACGTGAACTGATAGATGCACATGAAGTTCATTAAAATTGGGAGCTAACCTTTTACATAGGCGGAGAATAACTTACGGTTGGTGAAGATAATTTCAAGTTTTGCAGCAAAGGATGTCATGCTGACTGTTTTTAGTATATATCTACTTTTCACTAATTTTTATGCTGTCAGGTTGATTATAAGCGTATTTCTTAAGCGTAAGTGTTTAAAGAGAACATAAATGTATTTTTTCCCATAACTTATGAGGTATTGAAAGTAAAGTTCACTTGATTCTATTTTAAATTTCCACACTTAAGGTTTCAGAGACTATCGTATCCGGCTTTAGCAGCAGTTCAGAATGAAGAAGAGGCGTATACATCAAAACCAAGGCAGCATGAAGATTACCCTCTAAACACATTTGAATAAAATTCTTCACCATTTATGTCTTTTTGCTAAACTATTGCACCTTGGATTCTTTGTGGAATTTATTTGTGTTCCTTGTTATTTGATTATATTGGGCAGAAATGGCTGGTTATAACATACTGGCTCCTAGTGAAGAGACTCCGACGATGGCTTGACATAAACAGAATTTTGCTTGTCTTTTCTTAGGTATTGGTTTGCAGGGATTTGACTGATATCAAGTCTAATCACGAAATGACCTCAGTAAAGGGAGAAAGGGTGGAACTGGAGGAAGTTAGCATCCATGAACCATTACATCTCATAAAGTTGGCTGAATGGTCACAGAGCTCTCCTTGTTACCTGAATGTTCTCGGTGGAGTCATGTGTGAGTATGGGTGAGGAGTTCTAACTGGAAAGAAAACGCTGTTGAGGATTCCCTGCTGTTTTCTATTGATCCTCCAACTAAAGTCGGTTCATGATTAAACCTGGAATGATGTTAGTTTATTGTCAGTGATTGTCAGTGGGATCCAATTCCTGCTCTGATTCCTACTTCGGTTCCGACAGCTGGACAGCGAATATTCATATTGAAAACTGTTACCGCTCATTTAGCTAAGTCACTATGAACAAGGATCATACTGTCATTGTGAATTAAATAGATTTATCGGCAGATGAACCAATCTCACTTGCTCGTTATGCTATGTTGTATACTACCTTGCTGGGTTTTCCCCCTGGGCCAGTGCGCCCCTGCATAGTAGACTTGGACAACCAGTCCTCCGACAGGTCATCCATATCGGCTCTGTGATTAGTGTGAATGCCCGGTCAACATGAGCTCCCATATGCCAGAACTCCCGGTCTCTCGAAATTCCTCACCCTGGTCTCCAGGTAGCTAGGTTACAGGCGTACGCCACCAAGCCCAGCCGATCATATTAAATTGAGCTTTCAAACGCACGTTTTCTGTGTGTTTAAGTTTCTATAGCAACTAGGCTGATTTTCCAAGGAAGGATCGTTAGCTTAACCTTCCCTCTTCTTTCAGGCTTTAGACCGGCTATTGAACTAGGCAAGATGGCTGGAAACACACTGACATCCTACGCCAGGCCAAAGAGTGAAAGAAGGAAATTGTATGAGGAGGAGTCAACCAAAGACAACTTCAAAAAACAGTGTGAAATGGAGATATGGTGTTGAATACCTTTGTTCCACCAGGAATCCAGTAGAATATTGATAATAATAATGATAATAAAAATGGACCGAATTACACTTACATAAAAGTTAATAATTCTGAATAGTAAAAGTTTCAAACTTACGGAAATGCTCAATAAACTTGAGAAATTTGGCGTTAAATAGTATTTTATGCCAGTTAGTGAACCTTGTAGTGTTAAACCACGAACTAATAGAATTGATAAAATAACGTAAGGCAGAGTAGCAGTCACCCACACAGCCTGGATAAAAGAAAAAACACAAATTGAAATAAAAAGTGAAACTGAGGAGTCCCCAGTGATAAGCAGTTAATTGAGGCGAACGGTTTACATCAGGGATATTTCGTCTATTAATTAGACTGCTATTAGTTTATACTTTTTTATTTCTTTACGTTTCCAGTGAAACATAGGGCTTCAGGCTGGAGGCTTGAAGTTTCGGTAGCAGTGGTGTTTTATTTCTTACAGGATGGATTTGGTAGCCTCATGTCCAACCTCGTCTCTTCACCAGTGTTATTATTCGCTTAGCAAGGTAAAGGAGTGCCTTAGCCAGGGACTAAACCCCGAACCACCTGCGTGGTTGACGAGCTTTCTACCGCTGTGCCACCTACGCATTCAGTTTATACTCATAACTGAGAATTACTGCCGCATTCCTTTCGCTCGTCCAATAGTTAAGTGGAAAGCAGAAAGCTGTTCGGTATACATAGACTACACTAAAATAAAACTGAAAATTAAGTTTTGCAATATTTTAGTGGTCTTTTAGATTTCATGACACACTGTTGAAATAAAACTTGGTTAAATATAGATAAATATCTTTCTTGTATCGCTCAAAATTTTGAGTATATATGCCATTGAGGCGAGATCTGAGATGAACTCTTCGCCAATGCACTATTAAACGTCACCCAACTGGGTAGCAGTAAGTGCGGAAAGGAGGGAAGTTTGACCGTGAGGCTGGCAATTTCAAAGCTCTTGTGTCTCACTTGTAATGCAAAGAATGAGAAACGAAATCATAACTTGAAGTTATCAGACATTTCGGTAATGATGTTTGGTATTTGTCCGTCTTCATAAATTAGTTAGAAGGGAATGGAAAAGTGATATAAGTGTATGTATATGTATAAAGTCTATATTCTACAGGTTTACATTTGAATTAATTATTTTACTAATAAATGTCTTGCTGACGCTAGAACAGTTATTTAGAGTTAGAACTCGTGAGATGACATTACCTAAATATGTCAACCTATGAGGGAGGTATTTGTGTGAATACAAAAAGTTTGCAGGAACTGTAAGCTTGCATAGCCTTCGAAACAAATAATTCAATAGTGCAAACCTTTATATTTCTGTGGGACAATTCAAATCGATAATCAAACAATGGTGTAATTCCATCACGTGAAAATATTAAGGTTGTGTAACGAGACAAGGAGGACGTATATATATAATAGGGATGTTAACGTTGTCGGTGTAAATCAGATAAACAAGTGGAGATCAATTCGCTAGGTTGTTTTTGGCCAGTATATAGTAATTATACTTAGAAGCACTGAAACTAAACAATTTATCCCCAACAACACTGAGAGCGTTGTCACTCTTCTTCTTTTGCCTACACAGGGAACTTTTCAATGGTTCTTGCTTCAGCAAAGTGTTACAGACTAGGCTTCTTTTGTTTGCCGAGCGTTTTGAACAATTTCAAGCTGTTGAGATTTTGTCTGTTATCACTCAGATGACATGTAGTTATACTGTTTGATACTGGTTTATCCCCTTAATCAAAGGTTCGACGGAATGTGCTCAGAAGTCTGCCTTCTGTCATTCCGGTTCATATGCTTCAGAACACATGCGCAAATCTGTTGGGGAAAGCATGAGATGAAATTGGCCTTTAATGCCTTATCAACTTGATAAAAGTATGCTCGGGTTCTAGGTAATGTATAGATTAATGGGGCTTTATTTTGGAAGCCGCTGAGTAGAATCCTCAAAAAAGTAAACAAATTTAGCTTATGTTTTCCTGGTACATTTGTTATATTTTACTTAATTGAAAACCTGACATGGCTTAGGGTGGGTAGACTGCAGTTTTCCTGACCGAATTAGTCCATTTGGTCAGGCGTTCGCAGCCTCTGTCAGGCAAGTCCTATTTATTGCCTTCACACAATGCAAATGTTCCTCACAAAATGTTACACATGTTAGTCCTGATTCAAAGCCTGTAGTTTACATGGGCTCCAAAGTCTGAAAGTATCATAAGAAATATGAACCGTCTGAAGGTAGCTCCTGATGCTAGCCTACTGCCCTGTGGATCAGGCTTCAAGTCAAAGACTCTGGTTGTGGCCGTATTGAGATATTCACCTGGTTCGGATTAGGCAGCATTCTAGCCCTAGGAGAGACTATACGATTTATATGGAGCATCTCTTGGTGCTCATATTGTACCAGGTTCATATTTTTGTACTGTGATAATACAATGATTCAAATGTAAAAGAAGTTTTTCACAATTGCTTAACTTATTTAGAACTAATTTTTATGACCAAAGCTACTGAGTTTTCCTTCATCTTAGTAACAGCCAATCAACGATATCTATGCTTTAAAAACTTTGAAATGTAACAGCATAGTCAGCTGAACTATAGGAAGAAAACAAATATTTATTCAACTTACTTTCCCACTACTCTTTACACCTTTCCAAAGGGAAAAATACACTATCGTGAATACTACAATTAAGCAGAGGCATATCTCCCAGCGTATTGGACCAACATCATTATATCCTTTGGCGTATTGTATTTGTAAAACTCGACGACTTTCAGAAATCAAAGAGAAAAAGACATAAGAGTGACAAATTGCATAAAGCGGCCGATATTTTTAAGAAATGTAAGGAACTATAAAATTACATAGTGGCCAAATAACAAACTTGACTGAGAGAATTCATATTGAAGTGTTGCTTTGAAAGGGATGTCATTAGTTTCAGAATTTCATCATAACCAGTGCGGTACGGTAAGTCGGGTGTGAGGACAAATAGTCGCCACCAACGACATTGGCTAGTGGTCGCACAATACCGTAAATTAGCAGAAAATGGAATTCATGGGTCAGTGAATCGGGTGTAAGTGGCCAAATGATCTACGAGCTTGCCTTGTAATCAGAAGGCCCTGAGTTCGAACCCTACCTAACTCCCAAAGTAGGACGAAACAGCTGTCCAGTACTCCCAGGTTTTCCAATGTTTCTCTAACCGATATCAGTTCATGATGAAATATTGATAGAATTCAGCCTGCATCAAACAAATGACCAGACTTATCACATTAGTTACCACCTAATGTTCACTCAAAATATCCATTATAGTCCTATAGGAGGTTATGCGCCAGTCTGAATTGTTCAGTGGTAAAGTTTCTCACTTCAGAAGTGGATGATGCATGTTTGAATCTCAAAAGGAAAATAAGTTCTCTCAAGATTGCAGGTGCATCTTGCTGAAGAAAGCCAACAGCGACGAAACATAGATGTAAAGACTTCCGCCGATCACCTGCGACCATCTAATAACAATTCAGAGCGAACCGTGATGGCAAGCTACCTAGCATGGTAGCATCAGATGAAGGCCTAGGTGCATGACTTATTTGTCACTAAGTAGTGTTGAGTCAAAATTGTACTTTTCTCAAGTTTGCATTTTAAATAACTCACATACTAAGACTTCAGTTTGTTAATAAAAATAAGTGAATTGTTTATGAGCACTTATGATATGACTACAAACAACCGTTGTTTCGACAATACGTGTTACGAAATAATGACTCCTGGAATCTGTTAGTTGGAAGGTGAAAGTAGTAGATCTATTTTCAAGAACATAGAATATCACTAATAGTTTTTCCTTCTATTTTTGTATTCCTCAAAGATTGTTTCAAAATATTGGCTGTTTTATTGTTTTGGTTGTAAAATATTGTAACATTTAATAATTTTCAACTTCCAAAGGAAAGCAGTTATTCACTACATATATATTATACAATGTCCTAGTTTTAACTCTTAATTCAGCTTTCATGTTTATATATATATATATATAAATTGGCGACATCCCCCAATTCAAGAAGTAGACGAAAACTGTTATTGTAACGCAAACAAATTTGGTCAATATTCAATAAAATGTTCTATCACAATTTATATGGCAATATTAAACAACTTATGTTGAAAAAAGTGCCTTTGAATTGATTTTTATGGTATTTGTTGAATAAAAGTGTTTGACTACCATATGCTGTGTTTTTTGACCGACATTTTATCTCTAGATGGTCTGAAATATCTGATGAAGTCTTATAGAACTGATGGTTTCACCATAAGAATGTCCTACAAGTGTATATTTTGCAGGTATTTGTGAACACCACCTATTAGCACTTTTGAATCTTTTTAACTTAGGCTCACTTTTGAAAGTTAGCAAACTCACCTGAAATGTTTCACGTCTTTCAACATATAGTGAAACGGAGATGTGTATCGATGTGTTCGACCTGATAGAGGCAGCTGAACAAAATGCGTACGCATAATGCAGTAATAAATATACATTTTAAGTAGTTCATTAGCGTTACCATAAATTTTCTCCATATGATTTGTCGTTATCTTTATTAACTTATTTTATGTGCAAGAAGCTTAGGCGTTTATACTATAACCTTTTGAAGGACTTGTTCACACACTACCTGCAACCTATGACAACTTAAACCATAATCCGTGATATTTTCCTAATTAAATGGACACAGTAATTCTATAAATTGATATTTACGAAGAGGTTCTGGCTGCAGAACCAAAATTTATGCAAAATAAACGTAGATTATATGCCTGCATAATTAAACCATTGATAGCTATAATTCTGTTTTCCCTGAAATTAGTGCATTTGCTATGAGATATTGTATTTAACATTAGATGTAAATCAATTTTAAAACAAGACGTTCTTCATGTGTCCTTCTTGAATATCATTCATATAAAACCACAAGTAAAGTCAATATTTTCCCTATTCTGATAGGATTCCCTTCATGTATGTGGATTTCACTCATGAATTATACAAGTGTCCAATAGTAGATTTAGGGACTGAATCACACTGTGTTATCCCAATGAATGGTGAATCGGATTAGGCAACAGATCGTGGGTAGCGAGGAGACTGCATTACGGGGAATCAATAAGAAGACTGTAAAATTACTGAAATCCATGTACAATTTATGCCTAATATCATACATACTAGAAGATCCACAGGTGAAACCAACAGGATATGAGAAGAAGCAGCGAACACAGGATATAAAGAACATAAAGAAGGTAGACTTGATGAAGACGCCAAACTAAGAATAAAAAACGCCAGTCACCATGAAGGGATGAAATTTGAAGGAGGTCATTTCCTTCACTTTTCAAGGTTGAATCATTTCAACCACACGCTGCATAGATGAGGATCTCGAAGGCAGTCAAGTCACAAAAGGTAAAGTAGACCTTCATCAATCAGAAACTAGTGTGAAAACCTGATGCACTAATGTCAAGCCAATTCTTCTGTATGGCTCAGGGGCTTAAGGTGCATGTCAGGAAAAAAATTTCGAACAGGCTGTAGACGTTTATCTACAGCTTCTGACTTCGATCCATACTGAAGATCAGATGGCTAGAAAGGATTAGCAACAAAGAATTCTATCAGTGAATCTGCAACAAACCTATCGCCTAATCAGTATTTCGAACGAAATGGGGATGGATCAAATACACTCTGAGAAGACCGGTGGATGATATCACGTACTAGTGGAAATGACATACTATGGGCTGCAGACAGCAGAATGAAATGGAGATATGCTACTGCTACTCTGTGTTTCACCTGGAACCCTAGGGACTAATAATAATGTACATGTGCAGCAACTAATTCCATTGTATCAATACAAAAGAAAAGGTTCCATGATTTCCTCCAAATATATCAAACAATAAGCATTGGATATTTGTATAAGATTTCATTTGTATTCCATTTATTCAAGAAAAACAAAAAGGAATTTTAAAGCTTACTAGAAATATTCTTCTGTAGACGAGTAAACATCACCACTTTGATTGCCGTGTTTCATACTTGTCGATAAATTAACCAGTTCATTCAATTCATACTTGTGTGACGTATTCAACACGGCATTATCTATGAGTCTGTCGTAGACAGTTACGCATGAATTTGTATTCCACCAATTGTTGCATCCATCCCATGGTAAATGTGGCTTCATTGCATCGATCATGTAGAATAGAGCCCAAGCAATAATTGTATTGTAATACCATGCTGTATAACTTGCAATTATACATATTCCAAAACCAATACCTAAGTGAAATATATATAATAAGAAATTACTGTCTTGGAAAAAGGTTAATTTTCAAAAGAAACCTGTGGATATTTTCTCTATCCTCTAAACTGGAACTGTCCAGCAATTATCGATTGTGAATAAAACTAATAACCGTCAGGTTATTTTGAGACAAACACACTTCTGTTATTCGATTCCATAAGTAAATAGTTTTAATATGTTAACTTAAAGTAACAGCCACTGTTTCAGAAGGCAGAGAGAATTCTGGTTATTGGATTCAATCCACTTTTTGCAGCATAACAATCCAACTAAAATCCTTGAATATTCCATAAAGTAAAACGTTAAGGACGGTAATTTATTCTGCTTTCCACTGATTATTGTTGCTCTTCTATAAACCTCCTTTTCTTAACGGCATCTAGAAGCTCCCTTTTAAGATATGGCACATCTGAAGGGGGGGGGGTAAACTTCAGCCTTCCTCTCAAAATACCTTCATTCGATCACGTGTTCATAGCTTCTGCTAAGTTTATCCTACTCATAGCCATCAAGCGGCTAGATTTTTTCTCACAGAAGTAAATAGATGAATCTGGACATCTGGCGCTTGCAGCTGGATTGGTTGACATGTAAGCCTAACTAGGAAAGTCCCAATAAATAAAAATATATGTGTCGTCAGAAGTTTGAATTCATGCACCATTCGGTCGGATCTCTGTGGCTGAACGGTCTATGAGCTCGCCCCGTAACCAAACGGCCATAGGTTCCAGCACTGGTGGCTGCGTATTGATGAAGAACCCCAAACTAGGAACAGACAGATTCCTGGCTTTCCAGTGGTTCTCTAATGGATGTCAGCTCATGATCAATCCTCTAAAAATTAAATACTTCAATACCACTTTATCTTTAAAATCGGCGTGTAATGCGAAGTCATAATAAGGTGGAAAGTTGAACTAAATGCCAGCTAAGATAAGGTTATAAAAGGAAAGATGTTCCTAATTTTTCTTATTAGTATCGATTATGGTGTAATTTCATTGATGTCACTGTCTGTAATTTTGAATTTCGCTGAAACCAAATTGGCAAGAAGTACTTGGTTTAAAATGATTTTTAATTAATTTGACGTATAGAAGTAAAAAATTTTGTTAAACAAAGAGTTTTGTTTAATGAATTCAAATAGAATTTTCATCAATGATTGAAAAAGTGTAGCTCTATCTAAACTTTATATGATGAATGATGATTAAATGTGTCTAGACTTTAAATACGATTTGAAATTCAGGCAAATTTTGAAGTTTGCAGTTACTAAAAGCTGTGAAGTAAGGCTATCAAGGCTAACAAAATAGTATAACAAAACTGATAAAAATTGCAACATGACAGAACTAAGAATCAATGTGATATAATGGTTAGAAATTCAGTGAAGCAATAGAAATGAAGATTCAGTCAGATTGGTTAAATTCTTTCGGTTAGTTTCTGTTTACCCCTCCAAAATTTTGAAACAATTCTTTAGTTAGGATTTCATTATTCATCTCATTTCAATAGATTTAGAATTATCAATTCTGATTTGTGCTTCCACTGGTAGCTCACTCGTCAATTTCTCACGCTGCCCGGGTTCGGTTCCCGCATGGTGTACTTTTAAACTTCACCTAGTTTACTAGCCGATAGGAAGCGTATAAAAGACGGAAGGTTTGGTGTCAGGATAGCAACCCAACGTCATAAAAGCAAGATCTCCACTTAAAAACTCAAAGTTTGAAGCTCTACGTTCCACTTCGAACACAAAAGAATAAATAATTCTGATTTTTGAACATAAGAATGTATATAGAAGAAACTAGAAACTGGACAAACTCCCATCTCGTGTAACCTTTAACCGTGTCCGTCAGTCTACGTGTTCATTTCAGGTCGAATACACTGAAAAGGCAGAGAGACGGGTTATTGTTTGCATTTCTGAAGACAAACCAACGAATCTGAGTTTGATTTAAAGCCAATTCCTGACTCTGAGATTAAACGGCTCATAGGCATTAAGCAGTGCGATTGTGCTGCCTCTGGTTGGCACCAGTCACATTGTGTACACTTTGGCAGATATCTAGATATCCTTGGACAGATATCCACGGAAATGCATCAAAAATCATCTTCCCCAAGCCAACCTACCAAATCAAAGGCTCACAAAGAAAGCACAAAGAAAATCACCCCTCCATTTATAGAAGACATCTCAGAAATCGCTGCAAGGCTCTTCACACCTTTAGGAATTAACGTCACACACAATCCATCGAAATCACTTCACCCGCTTCTATGTCAACCAAAAGACTTAACTGCGAAAGAAGATAAAACCAGCATCATCTAGAAAATAAGTTGTAAAGACTGCGAAAAAAACTACATTAGCCAAAGTGGACGTCCCCTTCGTCTTCGTATCAATAAAAATAAACTAGCCATCAAAAGACACGACATCCACTCCTTCATATCACTGCATACAGACACCACGGACATCAATTCGACTGGGAAAACATTCAAATGTTAGACACAGGGAGTAAGTGCCAAGAGTGCCAGAGAATTTTAAGAATCCTAATATTTCAGTGTATCGTAAGTTACAAGATACACTGAAATAGACGAAATTTACCAATCGATAAGAAGGAAATCTTGCAGACGAAGGGGAACAATCAATACCGATACAAATAGCCCGAGAGTGAGCGTCGGTGGCACAGCGGTTAGGACTCTCACCAACCATGCACATAGTCCGGAGTTCGATCCCTGGCAGACGCACACCTGGTATCAATGGTCAGTCTGCTAAATTTAGGCTACCAATGTAGCATATGGGAAATTCCATACTTGAACCGATATACTGTGTGAAATAAAGCTGTAGTAATAAAAAGAATAGAAAATAAAAACACACAAAAACAACCAATCATGTTCGATTATAAACCCGTGGAGAAATCTAGAAGCTCACTTCAAATTGAAGTATGCCCTGAAGATGTTGCCTGGTACAGCAATGAAATCTTCGCAAATTAACCGTCTTGGTCAAAGAACACAACTACATCAAAATCACTCACCTGAGCTACAAGTTTTCTGAACTCTATCTAACTTTGAACTTTAAAATAAGTAGATCTAGCAAAGGAAGTGTCATCTATTCATGTTGAATGGTAAGGAAGATCATAGAAATCTCCATTGAAATCTCTCCACAGTTTCATCACCTGAGTGTTAATCTGTTTCTATATTGACATAATCAACATGATTAAACTCATACATTCGCAATCATAAGACTTCAGAAAACACAATCACTTTGTGAGACAACAAAGCGACGTCAGATAGATTCCCACTGGAAACCATCAAGTACTGAACGGCTATTTCATTCTAAATTCAAACTCCATGGCAGAACGCATCGATGAGCTCACCAGGATTCAAATTTAAGACCTTCAGGTTACTAAACAAACACGTTGACCATTCAATCAATGAAGAGGAATCTTACCGACCATAAGTTACATCTTTTGTTCATTAGGAATATATAGTACCACAAGTAGCTGACGCCATCGGTGTGTATTTGCCCTCATAGCTCACTTGATGAACCCCTCTTGTCATAACTTCTTGAAAGAATTCCAAGAAAAAACCCATCTTGTGATCAGTAGCTTGTGAGCGATAGATTAATTCTCAAGTAATAGTATGCAGACATTTGATTTAGCCACTGGAAGACATCTCAACAGGCTGGCTTCTTAGCCCGAGGGTTCCAGGTGGAATCAAGGTTGAGTACTACTGGTCAATCCCAAACTAAGATGAGATAGCTATCCAGTACTACATGGTTTTCAGTTGTTCCCTAAATGAAGTCTTATCTTGATCTAACATTGAAATCAATCAAATACCTGCAACCAACGCTTGAAAATGAATCAATAAAATGAGCATTTTCTGTTTCGTGATTTATCAGTCATATAATACTTCATTCTATATTCATTAATTTAAAAATGAAAAATGCGGGGATTTCAACTTAACAAGGCTGAAAAGATACATAGATAGTGTTCACAGATATTTCATTGCTACCATGGGGAATTCCATGATCGATATTCTTTATTCGAAATAGCCATTAACAAATATAATTTTTTGAATTAATTAAAAATGCATCTATAAAGGTGAATTGATTCCCTGTAAATTTAATCAGTCATCATGATTTTATATCCACTCTGTCTGGAAAATCAAAACAATGTTTGCATATTCTAGTCAGCAGTCTACTTCACAATGCTCGATAAAGAGTAAATTTCAATGTGAAATTCTATTTACAGTATTACTGAAATCCTACTTAGTTAATTCTATTTAGGGACTCCTCAGGTATTTCAGTCTAAAGACTTCCATAAGGTGAGCATATAAAGTACCTGCAAGTAATATTAATGCGAATTTGTTGATTTCGCATATCTAAAAACCAATAAATTTTAGTGAAATGATAGTGAATTGATTAAGTCACCCAGTGGAAGCTTCATTAGATGTGATTGTTAAAAAACATTCTCATCAGAAAGCTCAACGAAGGATGTGACGTGAAAACAAGAGTAAGGCAAGTTTGTCTACTATAACTGATGATGTTCATGGTGCAGTAGACTGAATCGTGCAACTGATGCGGGGGGGGGTAGCGAGACCGCAGGGACATACTGGACCGACTAAAAGCCTTTAGCAGAACTCAAACTCGCGGACTGTTTATGAATAATGTCATACAGACTCGAAGATTTACAGGGGAAAATCAACACGTTAGCAGAAGAATCAAGTAGCGAAGACGGGACTTTTATTGACCATAGAAGAGACAGAGGTGATTAAGATAACCAACCAACAAAAACAAGTACTTTCCACCGAAAAATGTGGAGGAGTTCCCAGGCGAGTCGGATGAGGATATTGGAGGCAGGGACAGAAAAACAAAGAATGGCCTTCATTATATTGTAGTGCGGAAGTCTACTACACTCAGCATAAGAGAATAGATCTGGATTTTCAGCTCCGGTGTCAAATTACTGCCTCTTTGTGTTGCAGACACTTGGCGCTTGTGCTACCAAAAGTATGTCTTACAAGATACAAACTTTTATCATTAGGTGGCTTCCCCTTATACTATGGATCGGATGGCCGGTCAGAAATCATTAGCAGCATGGAACTCTGGAAGTGGAGCTGCAAAAAGCCGATTGCTTAATAAATATACAGAATGAGATGGAGTTAGACTGTACTTACGCTGAGGAGACATTCAAGCGATATCACACACCACACGCTTCAGTGAAACCCAAACAGGACTGAGCGTCCAAGGGTGACATGGAGGAGATCATATGAAGGGAAAAAGTAGTTTATGGATTGTCGTGAATTCGAATTGGAAGTGTTGTAGAGATTAGCGTACAATAGCGATTTGATACTGAAGCTCCATGTTTCGCTTAAAACCCAAAGGAACAATAATAATATGATCAAAAACTATTAACCACAAATGTGAACTGTATTCAAACTCAAATGACTGTCATATTTCTTTTAACTTTATCCTATGAATTCAACAAATTACTGCATCTTCATTCATGAGAATAAAAGAGTTAGAAATAAGATAGTATTTTTCCAATTCTCGTGTCTGATTTCCAATTACGCAATATTTTACCTATTAAGTGAATGAAACATTATCAAATTTCATTGGGATTCTAGACGAAGATGCGGTTTCCTCGTCAACATTAAATCCAGTAGTTTGTACACTTCTGAATTCTGGAAAAACGAATTTCATGATTCGAGTGATTAGTGAGAATTTTAAAAGATTAGAGAGCGGAACCAATGGTCTTTAGGTCAGTGGAATTCTCAGCTGAAATTCAAGTCGAACCAAGAGAGTATATTCTTATTCTACGGAGTAAGCCTTCTGCTTTTAATCTTCTGTTTACTGTATAGATTATTGTAAGGTAAATATCATTCCTGCTTATCTGTTGTACGCAGAAAAGAAAACCTGACGTACAAAAGCGTTGCAAAATTTTCTTAAGCGGAAAATGCCTACGGATTTATGCAGTCTTGTTATCTGTGATGTAATAAAAATTGAGTATGCTAGTTTGTGCATTGGTGGCACAGAAGCAGAATGTTTGCCAACCATGCATGCGGTCCAGCGTTCGATCCCTAGCCGACGCATTCCTTTACCTCGTTAAGGCAGTAATACGACTGGTAAAGAGGGACGGTTAGGGCAGGAGGCTAGCGACCCAATCTCATAAAAATAAACATTATTGCTAACGAAACTTCAAGCCTCTATCTTGATTCTAGTATGCATTGTATCGATGTCAGTAATAGAGAATGTCTTAGTGAAGTTTATCAAGGGATATTTTATCGTCGCGAAAAGTATACACTAAAAAAATACTGTGTACTGACAAATTGATGAAGTTATGTTTGGTGCAAGAGATATAACCGTATAAGAGAAATAACAGATATTGGCAGAGCAGTGTGGAATGGTTGACGCGTAGTAGAATAACAGTTAAAATGACTTGAGATATTTAACATATATTTACAAGATGCATTCGACCTTATGGACAGATTCTGTATTTAGGTTAAAACAATAGTTAAGCTTAGACAACTAACACAAATGGACAGGGCAAAATAACTTTTGAAACATTTCTGGAATTTACAACATTGATCAGGTGGCTAAAAGTTGCATAAATAAGTGTCGTCTTTGCTTTGTGTTCATATCAACATGTTATGTCAGAAGCCTCGCTATGCATTTTGATACTTTTTAAATTAAAAAATACTTTATAGATGGATAAATCAGAGTGGAATAGATGACTAATATTCGATTGCCTCTAAGGTCTAGTCGCCGCTTTCTTTGCCTGACATATGTGATGAAAATCTTTCGTTTATAAAGACTGAGAAATGCCCTTTATGAAAACTTCAAGTGAACATACAGAAAACGGTGATGAAGATAACCACCAACAATAACAACACTTACAATCACCATTTATTATCAACGGAAGAAATTTGAAAGATGGTTGACTCCCTCACCTATCTAGGCAGCTTCGTTTCAACTACCGGCCTGTGGCAAGGATGAAGATGACAAAACCACGATCCAGAAGTCAAAGCCGACCTTCATTACTCTAAAATCAGTTTAGAAATCTAATGCAGAGATTCAGCATAAAGAACAGGATTCGGATTTTTAACTCAAATATGAAGTCAGTCACTTATCTTATATGGGTCGGAAACCTAGCGCTCGCATCACCAAAAGCATTTCAAACGGGTTGGTGAGGACTTTTATCAACAGCTGCCTTCTTTGGCTCAAAACTGAGAATCCAATGGCCAGCCGGATAGGATCAGCAAAAAGAAACTGTGTGAACGAGCTAACTGAGAACCTTTAGCCACACATATATTCCGAAGGAAACGGAGATGGATAAGGCTCACGTTAAGGAGACTGTCGAATGACATCGCGTGCCAGGTCACTGCTTGTGTGGAAACCGATTGGGGAACGACGAGTTGGGCATCTGAGAGTAACATGCATATGATCATGTGAGGAGGAGGAGGTGAGGGTCCATTGACAATTGTGTGGCCAGCTGCAGAAGACTGCAAAGAGCATGACAAAAGGCTACTGAAGCCCTTTGTTTCACTTGGAACCCAAGGGAATAATAATAGTTACTGAAAACAAATGTCAACTCATACATTTCGAAGTAAAATGCTAGTGTCAGTCGCTAGTCGGTGACTAGTAGTGGGATCCATGGTGCTCGCTTCGTTCTGTTCGGAACTCGTCAACTGGACGCACCTACAATCTGCAGTGTGGAACAGCATCACTCACTGAGAATGCAGGCTCATCCAATTAACAAGTACCAAATATTACAAAATGTGCATTCTGAATCCCTCTGCTAATCACCATCCACTAAAAGAACAACATATTAACTCTCGGGCATGGTCAACGCGTCCTTACTAATAACTGACATGTCAACAGAACCCAAACATTTTTGTTCAATCAGTGTGAAAAGCAAAACTGATATAGATAAAATATGAATGATTCACTTACCGCTGAATAAAGGGCATATTCTTCTCCAAACAGTTAAGCATCCACTACGCTGAAATTGTCCTAGTGCCAGCTCCAGATAAAAGAGTGGCAATCCACCAAAAATATACATAACCAAATAAGGAATAAGAAATGCACCTGTAAATGAAAAGAGATCAAATTGCGTAATTGTTTGGCTTTAATTTTCATTAGGTTTCATATAAACACCATCTGATTTACAAACAATAACTCCGAACTCTTAATTTCCTGCCAGTAATCTGGACAGAGGTACAGCGCTAAAATTCGACAGCTAGTGAGCTACATATCAACTGTCAAGTGTTTGTTTACAGGGACTTGATTGGTTACAAGATTGATCATGCGACTAGCCCTGTACAGGAAGTACCTCGGATTGAAGTGTGAAGTCGTATCCAGTGGGGTCTAGTAAGTTAGACAAGAAGACAGTTACTCTCCCATGACACTGGCTGATGGTTGCGCTAAATATATATATAACGAAATGGCAAGAGTTGGAATTTGTGGACCATCGGGTCAGGTCCCAGTGGCTTATTGGTTTACGAGTTCGCCTTGAGTTATGTGAAGAATTGTCTATTCTTCAGTTTATCACCTAACACACTAAAAGTTGGTAAACACGTTGCGCCAGACTATTTCTGATGATGTGGGTACATGAAGAATATCAGAAGCTCTAAAATGCATCACTTATAACACACTATAATCACCTAAGTTACACTTCTTAGAATTATTAGAAGCAAAAAGTAACGGTCGTCCTTATTCCTCGGGTTTTAGTAACATACCGACAGGGAGATACTCACGAGCTAACTAAGCAGTCACAACTAACTCTCTGTTGACAAAAGCTACTGGTTCCTTCATCAATTTTGATGTAATTGATTAATTCAAACAATTGACAAGTACAGGACAGTGCTTATGCCTACTAATACCACCCCATCCCCAGAAAAAAACAGAAATGCAATCAATATGAGTAAAATAATTTGCTTTTTACGGAAAAGTACACATAATTAGATCTTTTCCTCGATAATAATCAACTAAACATGTATTAATTCACTGCTTAAAATATCAGCATGTAAGATAAGGTAAATAAGTGAGCAAAGCAACAAAAGTTGAATGTGTAGATTAACAACATTTTTCTATTCATCTACTATCTTTGTAGTTATTCGAAACGACCAGATGCATATCACTATCTGTGTTGACTAAGAATTTTGCCGACTCAATCTAGGGTGAATATTCTACTTCAGGATTCTACTGCAGTCTAAACAGATCAGTTGAATACAGGATTTTCATCTTGAGCTGATATCAGTTAGAGAAGCGTTGGAAAACCTGGGAGTACTGAACAGCTGTTTCGTCCTAGTTTGCGACTCTTCATCATCACACACCCAGTGTTACCAGAGTTCGAACCTAGGACCTTCGGGTAAAAGGGTTAAGGAGCTCGTAGACCATTAAGCTGCTAAGACCCAACCTATTGGCCAATGAATTCCATACAGACTAACTGAAGCCTAAAAATATCTGAAATCTTAAGTTATAAACCACGAAAGTCTTAACAAGTCAGTGAAAGTCAAACAAGAAAGCCATCACTGCTCACTTTTATCTGATATCCTCATTTTCACTGTAGATAATATTTCAGCCTACAGAATACAATTTAGCTGACATAAACTGCTCATTCAGACACTATTTTGTTGTGATCAAATAAAAAGATGCAGTTAGAGAAACACTATTTGAAATCTTAATTACGATGCACAAAACAAGTGCTTCTCATATCTCACATCTTTGAAACTTGTCTAATATAGATATTGATTAACAAATTTCTACTTTATTTTGTTTAAATGCATTCTGAGATAAGCGGTGGGAAATTTAAACGGTGGTAAGAAACATCCGGAATTAAATGCTGAATTTAACTGGTTGCTAAACAGCCACTTTAATCTGTTTTTGGAAAGACAATTAACCGTCAAAGTGTTAAAAAGTAGTTAAATGACGCTCAAAGAAAAAGTAGATAATTTCTGGAAATGTAGCATTTTTCGAATAAAGGAAGCATAGATTGCGTAAGTAAATACAAAAAGCTTCATTATTTATTTGTTGATAACATCATTTGATAATCATCACAAAACACATACCAAAGTGTAGTTGGTTTCCGGATAAATATACACCCTCGGAGTAAACATACCTCATTTACTGTTTGCTGTCGGAAAAAAATATATCTATATTTATCCCGAAATTCTTTCTTAAGCTGATGTGTGTTGACAAAGAATGTCGATTTCGTGGATAAACAAAATAGTTTATTTCAATCTCATAATGAATTAATTACGCGTGTATTCACCCCGATACCAAGTCGTATACATTTACTTAAATTACAAGCCATGAACACGACTCATAAAGTTATGTAACTAACAATTCTGATGCATGAAATGTCAAGGTAGATAGTTTGAAAAGAATTTTTTGAAATAAAACTTCATGTGATGATGGTTTGTTCGAACTAACTTTTCTCTGAAACTTCAGATTACTGTAAACTTATATTTGAATTAAATTTTTTAACAGTATTTCGGTTCACCTTTTTACTAACGCTGATTTTATTCTTGGTAGTTAACTATACATTACTGAAGAACAGTTGTCAAGATAACAGTCGCCACAAATCTCGATGTTTTTTCATTCATGGTGCCTTGATGAAGTCACTTGTTTCCTTATGGGCAACTAATTTAATCTTAGAAAACAAGGGGATTTTTTGTCCCTTGTCGAAACTACTGAAGTTTCACCGTTTTGTCATTTACTGAGTTGCAGCCTGGTTTTTTCATATATGCCAGGTTTTCAGTTCGACGTTGATATTACTGTCATTCAGAAGATGTCTATGGCGTCGAAGGACTATGAATACTTTATTTGATTGAAGACAATTCAGACAACAGAAATGAACAAGAACAGGACAGATAACTTTATAAATAATACTGTTTGAAAAAAATTTCTAGCCTCTACAGAAGCATGTATTCTTTTGGGCATTTCAGTTGCATCCTTCTGATCAGTTCCTTATTAGACTACTTATTCATGTATCTGGTTTCAGTAGTGGAGTTTCCAACAACTTCAAGGATTACTGTGAATCAAGAGACACTTCAGTGAAAGTGGTTTCTGTTTTGTCCTTTAACTAGTTCTAAATGTAACCTGTAAAAATACTCATTTTATTTTAAAGCATCAAATTACTCATTATAATAAAGGTTTTTGTATTTCGCAATGAATGAAAAACAAAACGATATTGTTTTTACTGACGTTTCGCTATTTAATGCTCATATCAAGTGGAATCCAAATTGCCTAAATGGGAATGATGGACTAAAACAGAATCTGACCTGGTTACAACACCTCCCTCCCCCATGAAGTGACAAAATCAACACAAATGTGATTTGCAAGTTCACTATGTAAACACACACTGACTTTATCATTTTAAACACTGATCAAATCCAACAATCTACACTTGATTTTGATTTTGTTATCTTTACCAATTGACCAACTTGACAACGAAAAATGACCCCAGACTAACGAACGATGATCAAGTTAGAAAAGTTGGTTTTGATACCATAACAGATGTACTATTACCTTCGTTATTTGGTTTAGTGACTTTCAATATGTCCTTTTAACTTGACCTGAGACTATTTTTTCACCCCTTAACTCTTTGTTATATGTGTGCTGAGATTTTGTAAATTCCGGTTCAATAATACTTTGATAAAGCTATGAGCACTAAATAGCAAAATGTCAGTAAAAACAATATCGTTTTGTTTTTCATTCATTGGGAAATACAAAATACCTTTATTATAATGAATGTCATATACCCAATGCCCAAATTTTTTCAAACTGTTAAAAGTGAACTTGGTTGGGACATAACATAACATAACATCACATTACTATTCAATATTTTGATAAAAATAGGAAGTCGTTACGATTTCTTCAGCAATGACAAAACGTGGTATTGTTTTCAATAAATAATCTCAAAAGCTAGTGACGTCTTGGAAAGTGAGGTTGGATTTTGAATAGGTCTATATTGAATATTCTCAATGCCAAATATGGTGTGTTCTCTTAGTTGTATAATTTAATCACAAATTTCTACAAGAGTTAGTCTGTAAGGAGTTGACTGGTTTTGTGAGTGATGTAGGATTGATATCAGTTAGACACTTTTTTCCTACCAGTTTTGGACTCTTCAGTCATATTCACTCATGACCTCACCTATAGGAATGAAACCCAGGAACTTAAGGTTACGAAGTGAGCTCGTCGAATATCCAGTCATTACTCTGGGAGTTTTGTAGTCTTTCTAGGCAACATATTCAGTGCTAAACTCAAAGTGAATTGAACTATAAATATCATTTTTTAAAGCTGAATATTGTGGAAGATTTATAGGACATATCAGTATAATTTTTAACTAACATAAATAGAGCTTGGGATTCAAAGTTTTCCATGATTTTAGGTGTTTTTTATTATTACTAATCAGTGTGTGAAATACGCATATTTCTTCAGTTCTTGTAGTTTTATTATATCCAAGTCTGAGTAATAGGCTGGATGATATGAAGAAACATTTAGGGATTACACAGTATAAAGATAATATCCTTCCTTCGCACGCTGGTATAATAAATGTTGCCTTAAAATATCTTTTGAACCTGAAAGAGTCAGCAGTTATTCAACAGTAGAATGTATCAGGATTATAATAAACAGGTGTTACTATCAGGCGTACGAATATATTGAAAAGCAGAAGTTCACATGTCCTGATAACTTCACAATTTTGTGATTAGTAATCTTTCAAGCGTAAATGTCGTTGGTTCAGGGGTAGAATGACGGCCAGTTAAGCACATGGTGTGAATTCCATTCCCAGTCAATGCATTTTTAAACCTTACCCAAATAACAGGGATGGTTAGGCTTATGGTTAGTCCCATCACGCTGTGGAAGCAATTGGAACCTAAAGGCTTAAAGCCTGCAGCCCTATATTTCGTTAAAAATGCAAAGAAATGTAAAAAGAAAATATGAATAATGATTTCTGAATATGATTGTAGAGGCGTCTTATTATAGAGGATCAAATATTCATGCCTATGGACTTTATTTTCAGTCCGGATAGAATATCACAATTATGGTCATTCACGGTCCAATGCTTGGTGATCAACGTGAGT